AGAATCGATAGTACTTAGTTGCGTGGGAATCATGCGGGCGGGCTATCAGACATACGACCATGTACCAAAGATTTAGAAGGGAACATCTTTATTCAATTTTTATAATATATAGTAGAGAAGAAATTAAATGAGATAAGGTGTGTAATCTTTTTACGCGTTCGTTTCAAATCTAATTTTGGCTGGCATTCATGGCCCGAGTTATAAATAGCTAAATAAGGCTATTGTTACAAGAGTTTAAGAAGGGATCAACCTAGCAGTGATTAATTAACACATCCAAGTGAGTTCACGTACCATGTGTCTTGCGCATAAGGTGCTATGGTGTCCACCTGGAGCATGGCGGTGAAAGCGAATGCGAAGAAGTTGAAGAGGCCATCGGCAGCGTCGGCAACAATGAAAGAGTTGGCGCTTTGCTATGATAGCATCGTCCACATCGCCTGCCTCGTCGCTGCCACCTCGTCGGAGTCTATTACCGACCTACTCAGCCTACATGCCACGTATGTTAACTTGCTAATATAAGCTTATTTATATACACATATAAAATTATTTGTATAATGACTTGTATATGTCTATGGGTGTATGCCAAGGAAGGTGATGTCGGGAGGCATGTGCCGCTGGAGAGGCCGAACAACATGAAATGGATGGAGAACGAGCGCTACCTCACCGTCGTCAACCACCTCGTTAGCGCCGGCTTCATCATCGGTGTCACGCTCGTCTTCACACATCAGGACATGAAGCAAGGCCTCCTCTTCCTCAATAAGGCAGCCACCTCTGGCCACAAGATGGCGGCATACGTGCTCATCCTCCTCCTCTACAAGTCCAATGAGGCTCACGCTACCAGGAAGAAGTGCATCAGCCAAGTCGAGGGTGACAGCGATAAGGCAGCGACCGGTGTTGGAGTCAAGAGGATCAACCGGGAGTGCCAACGGTGCTGGAAGATCACTGAGGACGTGATCCAGGAAGCAATGTGGAAGGTTGGAGGGTGTCGCAGTAGGATGCTGGTGCTACCGGAGGATAGCCACCAGTGCATGACCGCCTGCTGCGGCGTGGAGTAGGGATGGGGAGGCTATGTAGTCTTTTGCAGTGATGATTGTAGGATCAAGCATGAATACTCCAAGTTCTTCATAGAGGTGATGAACTACTTGCCATAGTCCCCAGATAGACAGGACATCAAAGTATACCAGTTTTGGTGAACCTGTGATGTAAATCGTTCAACCAACAATGAGTATGCAGTAATAGAGAAAAATTGCAGCAAATTTTTTAATGTGTTTGAGCAAATGTTTTAAGGTGTTGAACATTAGCAGCCGATGATTAGTTGAAAAATTAGAACTTTTACAGTACAACATACTGCCGGTATATAGATAGGAAAATTTGGAGTCCTATCGAAAATTGGAGAAAATTTTCTAGTAATTTCGTTGTTGAGAGTCAATTCGGTCCAATTAGGACTCGTTCATGTGTCGGGCCACTAGCATTGTTGTTGGATCTCATTTGTACGCCCGCGAGAGACAATGACGAGCATCGCAGTGGCACGATTCCTGGTCGATTCTGATCATCATTAAAAATCTACATACTTTGGTTACAAGTGACCAATTACCGATCAAATAATGTAAGTTGTAACATAGCAGATGTGTGTGAAAGGTCTTACACGTTCTAAGTCTTGCTCATACACCCCAGGCGACGGTACCATTTTTTTATCTAAATTAATTACTTCCCTTTTTTTAACAAAAAATGACCCTTGCAGAATAGCAAAGAAAGATGAATCTACCCTGTAAAATTTTATACTACCATCTATTTATAAGTGGGAGATCAAATCAATTTATAGCATTAGATCATTTATTCCAGCGGTTAATACTATCAGTTTGTTGTACCATAAAAGTTCTCTTGCAAGTAACACTTGTAAAGCATGGCTTGATAATCAATTGTTGGACAGGAAGAAAACACTATACTCCGGTAAACAAAACCATCGTCCTAGCTCAAGCTCTTGTTAACAGTGAAATTTGGTAAGCCCGGAGTAGTCATCGCTTAGAGTCAGCATCGGCTTCGAAGTCATGAGATTAGCCGATGAGAGTTGTCAAGTCGTCAGTTGTCGGATTCTTGCTATATTCGGCTAAGGAAATTGATCTACTAAAGGAAGCTTATCCAGAAGAGACCGAGTTCAAAGAGAATGCGGCATGGCAAGTTATCTATTAATTAGGAATAGTTTGTTAGTTTCCTTTTATCTTTAGGAAAGTTTCTTTCTTGTCCGACAAGAACTTGTATCAACCCATGGGTATAAATATGTATACCCGGGGTCTATGTAATCTATCGCTACGATCAATACAATTCGGCGCATCGCCACCCTTTGGCACCCGACGGAATTTGGCACCCGACGCAGGGCTGCATCGTCTTCGATCTCCAGCGAAGGGATAAGTCCAATGTTCCGCCGGTCCAGGCAATTGTATCGTCTACGTCGGCGTCGTTCAAGGCTGCATCAGTACATTCGACCTCTTGGATTGCTCTGGTTTGGATGATATATTTGCCTACCTATTTATCATATGTCTCTGTTAATCTAGTCTTAGCATATCAATTTAGCTCTATTGGCTGCTTCTCGTTTTAGGGTTTTTGCTGGTATCGGCTAAATCGCGTTGCTAGATTAGATTAGCTTAGACATCTACCACCCTGAAAACTCAGTCAACGGCTTGATTGTCTAGATATTATGTTTCTTTTCATACTTAGTGTTGTATCAGTTAAGTTTAATCTACTAAGTCGTGCTTAGAAACATAATCTCTAGCCTGCTTCTTGATTGCCAATAAGGGTTTCATCGGGGTTTCAGCCGATGAGTTATCTGAACGTTGCATCGACTCATAAGGATTGCATATACATATAAGTTGGATTTAGCCGATGACAACAAAGGTTTCACTGTTTAATCTAATCTTGTGGATTTCATGACATCGGGCCTCCAGCCGACGTATGCTTTAACCTTCAGATCAGTGCTTATTCTATCATATCAATGCTAGCCGATTGGTTTATACTGGACTATATTATTGTTATATTTTATTATCAGTAGCCGATTGCCTATATATCATTATTTACTAAAGTGTTAGAATCTACATTGGACGTATAGCCGATTGCTTAAACCCTATCGCTATCGGCTGGTATCGGCATCGGCTATTGTCGGCTATCGGCTGGAACTACTCCATCGGCTTGTCAGCCGATCGACTGTTTTGATCTACTATTTGCATATCTTGTCAGTTGCAGAATCAAACTGACTGGCACGCCCGCATCTGACCAATCTTTGGACTTGCACAGGAGCTAAGCAGATCTCCCAGGCCGGCGTGTTCGATTTTTTTCGTCAACAGCTCTCAGAGAGGATTTTAGATTAAAAGGTCTCTCTGTGAGATAGACTTGCAGATAGTGCAGTTGTAAGAGTGTGTAGTTTCAATCCCATGTCCTGTGTTCAATCACCCACGCACTCACAATTTCTTTTTAAAAAAATGTTTTGAGGGAAGTTTCTCCCTTCAAATCTCATCTTTTTAAAAGGTATCTTTGCAATATACCAAGTCTCATGTATGATAGTAACTACCTGCTTTATTGTTTTATCTTCTCTTCTAACAAGCAAGAAATTGGACGGATGCCAAGGATGCTTTTAGGCTGGAAACTTAAGAACATATGCAATCCGCCATTTTCATTGAATAGAAAAAGAGTAAAATTGTGGACATCACATTTTTACTCTTTTCACTTTGTACACTTGTGTACGTAACATTTAATTGACCAGAACTTTATAGTATTAATCTTATATTTGAATACAAAATATTACTCAGGAAAAAAAGAGACGTTAAAGTTAGCAAATGGCCATGAAAAAAAGGAATGTTGTAAACATAACTCAGGATAGGAATAGTTAGGATATGTGTCAAACATAATCATTTTTACTGAGTTTGTAGATACATTTTTCAACCGGATCAATCCACCATGAGTTCATCATATCGATATGTTATTTAGGGTTACCCAAATGGATCATTTGCATTATTAATAGACCAATAAATTCCTAATATATGCATGTAAAACTTTAAAAAAAATTAAGCTCGTGTTCACACCAAAAAAATTTATCAAATTCAGTTAAATTTTGTTGGAATGATTTATTATACAGAGAAATAACTTTATGCCATTTATACATGTGATGTCCACAATATATTACAAATAGATCGAGAAATTCTCGCTACGTGTGTGTAAAACTCAGACCCAAATTTTTGAAACTCATGTTCACACCATAAAAACTTGTTAAATTTAATTAAATTTGGTAACTTTGTACAAACCTTGGCCATCTATACATGTAAAACCATTTTTGGGTTGAACCCTTTAGACCTAGGTTTTAGGGGTTTGATTCTTTTATCTTTATATTTTAAAGCGATTCTGAAGATTTGTTAGAGTATATCTATGAATAGGATTAATAGATAAGTGGATCGAACCTAACCGTTCTCATCGATCATCATGAAACATAATCACGCTACCAATATATACTTGTAGCGAAATAGTACCACACAATCTCGATAGGAAGATGATCAAACTGCAAATATAATCACGCTATCATTTGCAGTAGGAAGCAGGAGATGAAAAGAACAGATCTACTATAAGTTGAAAAATCATTCATTTTTCCAAGTTAAAGTCGATCGTGGCCGTGGTCGTCGCTCTCCTCGGCGACTTGATCTCGGAGTTCGCCGTTGGAGCTGCTCTTGGTTGAGGGCATCTTAAAGTAGGAGTGCAAGCTGGTAGACCAACGGATCCACTAACCACTTGCGAAAGGTAAGTAAATTAACTAGGCCTATCTCTTTTCTTAAACTTGGGCCTACTTTCCTTTCCTGTATGGGCCTCAAATCCAGCTCCGCTGGATTTCGGCGGCCCACTCGTCTACTTCACGTCACGTCCTCCTCTCTCTGTCTCCCAACCAAGAACTCGTCCACGTCACGTGGGCCCCAAAAAAGTGACCGGGGATGTAGCTGGACCATGGGCCCCACGCGTCCGACGTGGCACGCTTCTCCTCTCGTCGCCGCCTCGTCTTCTCAACTTCCCTCGGCTCGCGGCGGCGTCGGCCGTGAATCCTCCGCCACCGCCGCCGCCGCCGCCGCCGCCGACGAGCCCTACCACGATCGCCTCGCCGCATTCCCGGGGAGATTCCGCCGCCGTCGGCTTCTTCCCCGTGCTCCCGCGGCGGCGTTTTGAGCTCTCTCTCCCCTGCGGGTTTTCCGCCCTTTTTGGGCACGGATGAGTGGGATCACATTGCGCGATCTCTAGCTCAAGTCTCGGATTTCCGGCGGTTGGTAGGCTCGTACTAAGCTGCCTAAATCTCGGATATCCTTTTTTTTTCTTTCTAATAATGCTGGATTAACCCTAAATTTCGGCGAGTTGGTATCCGATTCCTACGCTGATTGAGTGATTGGGTTGGATCCTGACACGGAAGGGGAAAGTGGTTGTACAAGTCGGGAGGAGGAGTTGGCCGTTTCGGGAACTGATTCCTTGCTATTTTTGGCTACAAGTTCGCCGCCCCGGGCAGCTGCTTGGCCGTCGCGACGCAGCCGCGTCTGTTCGATCAGTTCAGCTCGCGCGGTTTTAGGTGGGGAGGAATCCTGTTCGATTTCGCCGGTTGCTTGTGGTTTCGTGTCGGAGGCGGGGGCGGCGATGATGGGGAGGTCGGTGCTGGAGATGGTGGTGGCGGCGGCGCAGGGCGGCGGCGGCGCGGCGGGGGAGTCGGTGTTGGGCATGTTCAGGTACGCCGTGCTGCCCATCGCCAAGGTGTTCGTCGTCTGCTTCATGGGGTTCCTCATGGCGTCCAAGCGCGTCGGCGTGCTCAAGCCCAGCGGCCGCAAGCTTCTCAATGCGGTAAGGCGCCTAATTCAGTAGTTCTCACAACCATCATGGTGGCTCGCTAATTTTCAGAATATAATGGAATTCAGACTAGCTATGGGAACATCAGCAGAATTCAGGCTAGCTATGTTGATTTATCTTGTCTTTTTTTTTTTTGTTATTTTTGCAGCTTGTGTTCTCTCTGCTCCTTCCTTGCCTAATATTTGCGCAGCTCGGGAGATCAATCACAATTGACAAGATCATGGAGTGGTAAGAAAGAACATATTAGTACTCATTTAGATGATTAGCCACAAGTTGTATCTTTCCCTTGGCGATATTTGGGGTCTTCTTGTGTCAAAGCATTTCAACATTACTCATGATGTTGCATTGCAGGTGGTTCATTCCAGCAAACATTGCTCTGGGTGCAGTCTCTGCATCTTTGGTTGGACTTATAGTGGCATTGATTGTACGGCCGCCTTATCCATACTTCAAGTTCACCATCACTCACATTGGAATAGGTTTGTACATTCCTCACGCCCTTATGAATATCGCTAGCTTCTGATTCATCACGCATTCTGCATTATATTTTTAACATTTCACTTAATGCAGGGAACATTGGAAATATACCACTTGTCCTTATCTCGGCATTATGTCGCGACCAATTAAATCCGTTTGGTGACTCGAACAAATGTACTCAAGATGGAAATGCATACTTATCATTTGGTCAATGGGTATGTCCAAATCCGTTTGTTTATGGAGTTGCACATCCCTTTTTAAAATGCTACTCCAAATACTTATCATATCTATTGGATTGTTTACCGGTGCAGGTTGGTGCCATTATTGTTTACACATATGTGTTCAAGATGCTTGCTCCACCCCCCGGGCAGACCTTTGACAGCTGCGATGAGGAGAGAGATAAACTTCCAATTAAGGCTCCTAATACCATGTCAAGTGTAGCGAAATATCCATCAAGTGCTCATGGCAATACACATGAGGAAGAGCCCCTGCTATCTATAGAGGAGGAGGAGGAGGAGGAGGGGCAGGACGTTCATTCTTTAGGTTCAAAAGTAAGAAGTGGGCACAACATAATGCTAGTTCAGCATATTGGAAAAAAAAAATAGAGGCACTTCAGTAGTTGTTACCAAAATAACTAATAATACTCCATTTATGGCTTAATGCAGATAATGATTCCTATCAAGGGCATGGTTAGATTCCTACAAAAGAAGCAGCTCCTCCAACCACCAATCATTGCATCTGTAAGTGCTCGGTATATTTGGTTTTTGTCTCTTATCACTGCCGTAAAACAATACTTGCATTTTTCTCAATTATCTGAATGTTCCTTTGCGTCATGTAACAGGTTCTTGCAATTACTCTCGGTGTTGTGCCATTCTTGAAGAATTTGATCCTCACAGATGACGCGCCTCTATTCTTTTTAACAGATAGCTGTCTCATTCTTGGGTATTGACCTGTCTCATGACTTGTAGTTTCTTCTTGCAATATGCCTATAGTGTCTTGTAATAACAAATATGATTCGCATTTAAAAACCATCTCTTGCTAACAATGCTGTTTTATATATTTCAGGGAAGCTATGATTCCGTGCATTTTGCTTGCCGTTGGTGGCAATCTTGTTGACGGTAAGCTCATCTTGTATTCTCAAATCTCATTAGAACCGTGCTGCAATATGAAGTGTGCTTTTAGTACATTTATACTTCTGCAATTTATATGTTTATCTGAAGTCCATACTTGTGGTTTATTATGGTTTTAGGCCCTGGTGAAGGAAGTAGGAGACTTGGGGTTCGGACCACCGTCGCGATTATATTTGCACGCTTGATATTGGTTCCAATTGCTGGTATTGGCATCGTCTCATTTGCTGACAAGCTTGGATTTATTCCAAAAGGAGACAAGATGTTCAAGTTCGTCCTGTTACTGCAGCACTCTATGCCCACATCGGTACTATCAGGTACGAAAAAGTATAAGGATGACTGAGACATCATATTTGGCATGTTAATCAACCTTTGAGTATAATACAGTTGCAATACTAATCTGCTATTTTTTATGGGCAGGTGCTGTTGCAAACCTAAGAGGTTGTGGCAAGGAATCAGCTGCAATCTTGTTCTGGGTGCACATTTTTGCTGTCTTCTCCATGGCAGGATGGATTATCTTATATCTTACCATGCTGTTCTAGGTATTTGATTTTGAGCCCCCTCTGGGTGTGTGTGCCTGAATATGATGCTCCTCCTGGGTTAGCTGCTGTCGGCAGTACTGTGTCTGGTTGTACATTTTTCCGCTGTCCCTCGAGTTATTGTAGTTTATAATGTTTCATCTGATTCTTTTGTAGATACTAACTGCACTATGACATAATATGATATGTTCATGAAATACATGTTGCTGCAAAGTGCAAGGTGATTGGAAGTGCGACCCTGTTGGATCTGCGGGTTGCATTTTCCGGGCCGTGGACAATTGCGAGAGGCCTGCTATTGTATGTTTTGTTTGGTTAGCTGCTGAAAACAATAGATGAGGCAAAGGAATTGTGTCAGCACCTCTTGTACATTTGATCGTAAAATACAGGATATCTCCAACTAATAGAGAGCCTTGTATCCCCAAATTCTTGCTTTTGGTTTAGTAGGACCAGTAGATTGAAGTGCATTATGTAAGAGGAGATTTTTTTTTTCTAGAGAAGCGTACTGTGAATTTGAAATCCATGGCATATTTCTACAGAGGATAGCATGAAAGCACGTGGAAAAAACAAATAATCAACAGACGATAAGATAATTTGGACTAGGGAATAGGGATTGTCTACCCAACATTCGAATGTTGTTTAGGGCCACCTCGGTCAAGAATGGCTGGATTCTTCTTTGCCAAAACATTCGCATGTTCTTTTTGGCCCACAAAGCCGAATACACAACTCAACAACACAACATACACAGCCCAGGCGAGAAAAACAACATTTTTTTTTTCAGGAATAATGCTTCAAAACTAATGCCACTCCAATTTTAATGTACTCGAGCAATGCATCTATCTTTACATTGTTATCAGTAAGTAAAAGGGTGAGATGCTTGACTGAATATTGTAGGTAAAAATATAAAATGAAGGCTTATACTCCGTATGCTATCATCCCAAGAAAACATGAAAATTGTGGAAGCATGTTTGCAACTTATCAACATCGTCCTCCCTGGCGCTGCATTCAGGCACACGTCATGTCCATGGTTGGATGAAGCACCAACTTATCAACTTGTGGAAGATTTTTTTTTTTTTTTGTCTTGTAGGAGTATACCTATTACTATCTTCGAGCTCGCTTGCTTCTTTCTCGATGTCAAATCTTGATGACTGGCAGCCAGCTGAGTGGTAAGCGAGCTTTGTCATGTCGATGTCGTCATCTAGCTAGCACTGTAGTTCATCCCTGACCTGTCAAACGATTCATGGAAATAGCACTCGGACACTTCAGAATTACTCACAAAGTCACAATAAACCATATCATCATTGTATAAATGTTCACATATACTTGTAGTATATACCATAATGCTCAAGCTGACCTTGTGAACTATGCCAGATATAGCGACCAGTCGACTCTTTATTTGCCTAGCACGCTCAAGATTGAGCATGCTGACTTCAGAGGTGAGCTCATCTAAAGCTAGGTATCTCTAATGTGGAAACCTGATGCAATCACAAATCAAGCATTTTTTTTCAGGAACTGCAGTCTGATAGAATAATGCTTGAAAACTAATGCCACTCCCATTTTAATGTACTCGAGAAATGCATTTATCTTCACATTGTTATCAGGAAGTAAAAGGGTGAGATGTTTGATTGAATATTGCAGGTAAAATAAATATATACCATCATCTCAAGAAAACATGAAAATTGTCGAAGCATGTTTGCGACTGAACAAAATTCAGGTTCAGATAAAAGGTAGAATTCGAAGGGATTGCCACTAGAGTTGTTGAAATATAGTAAAACCATTATTTCTGAAGCAGATATAAAACCACAAAAAAATGAAAAATATGTATTGAGAAATTTTGTGCAAGGTACTGATGCTGGACATCTATTTGAATATTAAAAGATCAGCTGATATAAAAATTCAGAACATGGTGCTAGAAAACAAAAAAAAAGGAAAAAATCAGCAGGAATAAGAGGAACAGTAAAAAAAGAGAGGACGAAGACAAGGAAGAGGAAGAGCAACAGGAATTGGAAAAGATGAAGGGGGGGAAAGTACCTAATCTGTGTATAGGGGGGAATCATGAATCAACCCCACATCTCTGGTAAAGAAAACTCTAATCAAATGCATATATGATTGCAGAAAAACACATAGACCATTTATTGGTTGATTTTTTGCATTTGCATGTTAACCATACAATATTATGCATCAAAACAAAAATGAAGCAGGGGAAAGAGTGAAATAGCCAGGAGCACAACTGAAAGTGTAATCTCTAAGCCACAAAAATTTAACAGAGTCCATAAGCATACAAAACGAAAAGAGGATTGAACCGTACTAAAAACCTGTATAACCACCCTAATGCATATAAACAACAAAGCATGAGAAGGAAGAACTAGAGCACCGGTGAAACCTAGCTACTGGATTCAGAAGGGACGACAAGCTAGGGGGGCCTTACAGACAGAAGAAGTGCTACACCGACAAAAGCCTGGCCAAGCTCGACACCACTGGCCTCCAGTCATAGATTGCTGAAACCTGCAGAGGACAAGGAAGACAAAATCAACACAAAAATGACAGGAGGGATCAGGAAGCTCACCGCTGCAGGATCTACCGGCGACGAAATCGCCCCCATCACCTCTCCTCTCATGTAGCTTCCCCCCTCTCTCCATCTGGTGAAAAGAAAACAAAAAGGAGGAGGCGCAGTAACAAAGGGGGTTCGAATAAAAAAACAAAACAGGTGGAACCTCAGTTTCTTTGCACGAATCTTGATATGCAATCCAAAGATCCAAAAAACTAATAAAATGGGAGGAAAAATCGACAGAAATTTAGCCACTTCCTTTGGACTAACAGTTTACATGAGTACAAAATATTCTACTTGGCTGCATGGCAAAGTAGAGGACAATAAAAGAATGTGATCTATATTTAATTTGTTATATCTAGTGATCCACGACAAGGACCTAAACAACTTACTCAAGGCTCCAACTATTCTTCACGGCACTGAACATGAATGGCAATGCTGAAATTGAACTTGTAGAAGTGCAGAACAAGCAGAAATTGAACCAGTGAGTGCTGAACAAATCACAAGTCATTCACATGATAATCCAGTAGAAGCACATCACACATAATTCAATCGAGAATTAACTCTTCATTGGCTCAAGTTTGCGCTATGGTGGAACAATCTCAGATAAACAGTTCAGGTCTCATAAGCAAAGGACCTGTCTCTAGATAATCTCTTGCATCCGTGAAGATATAAATGAGAGAAGTGTGTTCCTGTCTCTTCAAATGCACATCAGCAAAAGCCTCCAACCATGATATTTCAAAGAGGTTTATGATTTATATTCTGGTTCTCTCGGCCTGATATCATTGTATCTGTTAGTAATCATCACTCTTTTGTAAGCCCATGTGATTATCTCATTGTTAATGAGATACATTCCCTGAAAAATTTCAACTTATCCCAGAATCTTTGGCTGAAACAGTGGATGAGCACAAGGCACATGCAAACGAAATATTCACACCTGGAAGATCATTGACAGTTTTCTTACTTGTTCTTGTTGATCTTTCTACCCTTGAACTTATGTTTAAAATCTTCAGGGCCTAGTAATTCTGAAGCACTTGTTTTCATCTCTTCAGATAACTTTTGTGCAAGTTCAAACTGTCCAGCCTTCTTTAAGTCACTGATTAGGGCCCGGTAGACATAAATTGAAGGTTGATGTGACCTTTTCATCTGGTCAAACATTTCAAGGGCTTCAGTAATATGGCCAGCCCGCCCGAAAATATCAATCAGTGCAGTATATGTTCTTAAATCTGGATCGATGCCTCTCTCAACCATTTCTCTTGCGAAGATTTTGCACTGATCTAACCTTCCAAGCCTCCGCAAGCAGTTTATTACAGTATTGTATGTAACAATGTCAGGAGAATGGCCAAGTTCATCCATTAGCTTCACCTCCTGAAGCATTTGATCCACCCGACCAGCCTTTCCAAGCATGTCCAAAATGGTATTGAATGTGACAACATCTAACCCTCTTTGATCTTTCTTCAGTTCTTCAAATATGATCAAACATTTATCAATCTGTCCATATTTAGCCGTGGTGAAAACAATGCGATTCATCACTGTAGGATCTCTATCATGTGTAATTTCCATAACTTGTCTCACAAATTTAAGTATTAGTTCATAGTCATCCAACTTCTGAAGGGCCTTTGCAACATTTGTATAAGAAGTCAAGTCAGGAGCTATTTTGGAAAGCAGCAGGTACCTGAACACCTTGGCAAAAAGAACGAAGTTGTTCACTTCGCCTGTTTGCTCCAGCACCAAATTAAACGTACCCAATCCTACATGGATCTTCCTATCATGTAAATGTCGGAGAATCTGAACAGCATCAGGGAGGTTGCCTGATGTGCAGAGCTTCTCAACATAGGCAGTAGATGCTGAATCATCCAAAACACCAGCACCTGCATCGGTACAACAGTCCCGATTGAAAGCCTCAAGAACCTCATCATCATCCCCGTCTGCTGAACTAGACCATTGGTGGTACTGCACAGCCATGGTTGAAGCCGCTGAACTCGTCTGTGTAGACAAACTTTCGTCAAGAAGCGAGGCACGCACCAGCTGTCTCTGTAGGCAAGACGAATAGAATTCAAATGAGCAATTTGAATGCCACAAAGCAAGGCATGTTACACTGTGCGAATGAACCTTAAAACAACACAAAGTAAATCATACGACAATCCCCAAATGCTTAAACATGGCTCAAACTTCACAAATCCACTATGCAAGCTCTCACGAGCCACCAAGACACCAAGATCTCCAGGTTAACTCGGGGATAACTAATGGGAGACAAATTCCTAACTTAATCACACAGTAACCCCATTCTCTACAAATTCCAATCGTCCAAATTGCAATCTCCCTTCACAACGAGGCCTCGGAATCACCCATGCATAAACCTCGGGCAGTCGGGCTCAGCTAGGTTCAATCCACCGAACAAATATTTCTTTAAAAAGAGGCAAGAGATTACCGGACCCGAGCGGAGCGCTGGTGAGGCGGCGGCGGCGGCGGCGGCGAGCGAGCGTCGGAGGAGCAGCGCCGCGGCGGCCGGGGAGAAGCGCCGCATCTTACGCTCGGCGCCCCCCACTTCCTACTACCGCCGGCCGGGGCGCGCCGGGACGGGACGGGAGGGCATCCGCACGGAGCCGCCGCTTCGGCCGGCGCGGGGTTTGGGGCGAGGGTTTTTGGGGGCGGACGGCGCGCGCGGCAGGTGTTCGAGGAAATGCCTCTCCGGGGATTTACGGCTTCGCGGCTCGCGGGGACGGGGAGCCCTGCCGAGGACCGTCGCAGAAAGGCCGAAATGACGCCACGTATGGCCAAACTGAACTGCCCCGGACCAGGAGACCTGTGAGCCTCTGAAATATGCACGAATTTTGAAGCGTAAATAATCGCCAAATATTTATAACTAACTTCAAATTAAAAAGACAAATTTAATTTTTAAGTTGTTTTTTTACGATTACGCAACAGATATATATACACACCACTACGCACGTAACACCACACTAACACCCCTACAAATGCACCTCGTAGCATATGCTCAAAGAGACAGAAACCAGCAGCATACATCCGATGTCACTAAACCTATTACAGTACATAATATTTATGGGCATCAGAATGTGAATCCTCATATATGGAGTCATAATCATGCATCCACAACTTATGGTTGTGTTCGTTTACTAGTGTTGGGAATATATTTCTAACATGCGAAAAACGGAACGGTCCATTAGCGGGTGATTAATTAAGTATTAGATTTTCTTTTTTCAAAAATGGATCAAATATGATTTTTTAAGCAACTTTCGTAAAAAACTTTTTGCAAAAAAAACGTACCGTTTTGTAATTTGAAAAGCGTGCACATGGTACACGAAGGAGGTGAGTTGGGAATGTTCTTTTGGAGGGGTTGGGAATCCCTCCCACGGAGCGATAGATTAACACATGATTAATGAAGAATTAGCTATAGAAAACTTAAAAAATGGATTAATATGATTTTTTTATTTAAAGCGTGCACATGAAATGCGTACGTTTACTAGCAGATTGAAAAACGTGCACGCGAAAAACGAAGAATATGAGTTGAGAACTCATGGGAAAGAAGTAAAGAACACAGCCTAAGAGCAGGTACAATAGCCGACTATTAGCCAGCTACAAACATATTTTAATGAGATAAAAGATGAAAGAGAATAGTAGCGGGTTACAGATATATAGCCAGCTGTAGTACAGACTCCAAGACGTAATGTGTTTATGACAGGTGGAATCATGTATTAATAATATAGTAAGCAACTATTTTATGAATTGGCTATAGATGAATCGGAGCTATTAGTAGGTTATACTATTAAACTTGCTCTAATGATTTCCTCAAGTTGTTTAATTTTTGAGTAAATTTCACAAAACTACACGTTTTGTGGTCCAAGTTGCAGAAAAACCACATACATTTTGACACTTGGCACTTAAGTATATATATTTTGGTTGTGTAGTTTCACAAAACCACACTATCGATGAATTGATTCACTCGCGAGATGACGTGGATGTTTCACCTAGGACGAGGACATGGCATCCTATTACTAGCCATCACACGAAATTAATAGGATGCCACGTCCCCATCCTAGATGGAACAACCACGTCATCTCATGGGTGAATCCATTCATCAATAGTGTGGTTTTGTGAAACTAAACTACTAAAATATATATACTTAAGTGCCAAGTGTTAAAATATGTGTAGTTTTCTGCAACTTGAACCATAAAACATGTAGTTTTATGAAATTTACTCTTAATTTTTTTTTACCCAAACCAGCATATATACCATCAGGAACGTGATCCTCTAACGTACTGCTCCCTAACTTTGAGAGGATGACATATGGGCCCCACAGCTGGTGGACCCACATATCAGCCACGTAAGAGGGCAGTACGTCGGAGGAGCCTCTTCCGTGCAAAATGCCTAGAGAGAGCGAGCTGCGATCCAACGGGAAGCGCGCGGCCTCAAAACGCGGGCGAAGCAACGGCCATGGGAATGCCATGCCATCCACTGCTTGCGCGCGGTGGCGCGGAGACGGAAGGCGGCCATGGGAGGAGCGCGCGCCACCTGACCTAAGGCAGGAGGAGGAGGAGGACGCCAATCCAAGGACGGCGAAGCCGAGAGCGGGCAAAGCGCCCCGTCGATCGCTCGAGTTCCCCCGTCCCCCGGCCCGCCGGCCATGGCGTACCGGAGGAAGCATGGGATCCAGAGGTCGGCCACCTTCGTGGAGGACCACCGCCAGCAGCCGCCGCAGCCGGGGGACACCTCCTCGCCGGCCATCGCGTCGCCGCGCGCCACCCGGTTCGCCGACGACAGCCGCCGCCCCGACCGCTCCCTCGCCGCCGCCTCCTCGTCTCCCCAGCCCGACGGCTCCACCCCGGTGCGCTGCTCCGATACAAAACTAAATTTGAGAAAATTCCTCTGAATTTGTGAATCAATTTGAGAAAAAATCGATGTGAAATTTTGTGAAACAGTATGCTACTCAACAATTGCAGGATCCTGTCACTCAGCTGTACACATCGGCGCGCGGCGCGAAGGGAAATGAGACGAAGCACGGATTCTGGGGAGTGTTGGCACAGCAAGCCATAGTGATGCTCGACGAAAACGGCGGCACGGATGATAATCACTCTGTGGTAAAGAGCTCTGGAACAACAAGAACATCACCCGATTAGCAAGCTGATGGAGCAGCAAATTAAATCGATTCTTTGTTTGCAAATTCAGGCTTAATTCAGACAACTTTGACATTTTCCGTTTGCTTGTTCAGTCTGATCAGTGATCAGTCTAACCTGTTTCTGAATATGGATTTCAGACATCGCAATCTCGTTGGTCCTACGACCGGGTCCGGAAGCCCGAGAACCCTCCCTTGGACATTGGATGCAAGATCAAGACCGCCCTCGAGGTCGCATTCTCTTCAAGATTAGCATTCAGAGATTTTATGAATGCCATGATCAATATTGTAATTTTATTTTATTTTATTTTTGTAGGAGGGCCTGACGAAGGTGGAGGGTAGCAGCAGGACGGGCGACGGCGTCCATGGCCGGAAGCTGCACATCAGGAGGAAGGCTTGCAGCATGGACCTCCGCAACAGCAGCATGGGATTGTCCAGCCCGGAGGCCATGTCGCCGACGATGTCGGACACGGAGTCGCCGCAGATCAAGGCTTCTCGCGACGTAAGGTGCCCTCCTCTTTTGTTGCCGTTCCGGAGGTGGATTTGCGACTGCGCTCTCTGAATTTCATGGTGTGCTTGTGGTGGTGGCGGCGGCGGTGATCAGGTGGCGAGCGCCATGGCGGCCAAGGTGAAGCTGCTGCAGCGGGAGCTGAAGACAGTGAAGGCCGACATGGCCTTCTCCAGGGAGCGGTGCGCGCAGCTGGAGGAGGAGAACCGCATGCTCCGGGACGGCAAGCACGACGCCGACGAGGACCTGGTAAAAATATTTGCAATTAAATTTATTTTTTTTATATAATTTATAGAAGTTGAATTTAAATTTACATGTTTGTAGAGATATATTACATATTGATCTATCTTATTATTTTTTAAAAAAAATTATAACTATTTAATTGAAATACAGTAAACGGATATACGTCCAATCCGTCTCCCCATGATCCCATGCAGATACGGCAGCAGCTGGAGACGCTGCTGGCGGAGAAGGCGCGGCTGGCGAACGAGAACACGGTGTACGCCAGGGAGAACCGGTTCCTCCGGGAGATCGTCGAGTTCCACCAGCTCAACATGCAGGACGTGGTCGACCTCGACGACGAGGACATGGCCGGCGACGGCGACGGCGAGGAGGGAGACGACGACCATCAGCAGTACGGGTGTCATCTCCGGGCGCACGAGGCGGCGCACGGCTTGTGGGCCGGCGGCGGCCTGGGCACGCCGCCGCAGTCGCCGTTGGGCCACGCCGGCAGGATGGGGATGTCGAGGTCGAACAGCCGCGCCGCCGAGTCGCCCACCATGCGCCGGAGCTTGAAGGAAGAAAACGTCGATGAGCCGGAGACGCCGCCCACTCGCCGGAGCCTGAAGGAAAAAGCCGACGTTGATGCGCCGCCAGAGACGCCACCCACTCGCCGGAGCTTGAAGGAAGCCGACGTCGACGAGCCAGATACGCCGCCCACTCGACGGAGCATAAAAGAAGATGCCGATGATGCGCCAGAGACGCCGACGACCAAGCAAGACATTGGTTCGCCGGAGACGGCGACGACGCCTGCACGCCGGAGCTCCAATGACGATCTTGGTGCAGCAGAGACGACGACCCCAACTCGCCGGAGCTTCAAGGACGATAATGGCGTGACAGAGATGAAGAACGAGCATTGACGAAAGGCATCTTGTGATCGCTCTGAAACTGTTGTGTGCATGTAGAGAGTTTATTGTGCCTATTAATTTTTTGGGTCATTTTGTTGCATGTAATTCCTAGCACACGTAATTATCTCACCCCATATGTTAATTGTGAAAATAAAGCACCTCCTGCTTTGGGCCATTATCTCACTCCATATAACCAATCTTGCTGTCCCTTGAGATCATCAGTAATTATACTTTTTCCTAGGATTTGAATATAGGAGTTCAGTTTAAATAAAGAATGAAATGTTCAAGTTATTTAGGTGTTCTGCAACATGGAAAAATGTATGATTGAGAAGATGTAAGGGATTGGATGTCATGGCCGAGGAATTACAGAAAATCTCAGGAATGTCAAGGGAAATATATATTAGCGTGGAAAGAAGAGGAGAGGCAGTGAGACTTTGCATTAGACTTCGCAAAGGAAATGTAAACATTAGGCATAGGATTTTGAAAGCCATTCTACAATCCAAGGGTCATGGAAAATAAAATTTTCATATCAAACTTCAATACTCGAAAAATTCTTAAAGAAAACCTTCATTTGAAACAAGTCCTGCTAATGTTCATTTATTCAGCACTCTTGGCAGAAAACAGCTATCAGGAGACGACCCAAGGCATCAACGGTAGAGTTCACAATGTCACTGGGGATGGCAAACTCCAGTACCGCGGTGACTAGCTCAATTTGTACAGTAGAGAAAAAAAAACACAACAACAACAACAACAACAAATATTTTCGTCATGATCAGCTCCTGGGGAGAAATGGGTACACAATTGACAAGCGACACCCACTTTGTGTAATTAAACAGATTCCAGATACACATTATTCATCCAATATTCAAAAGTTGTAAACAAAAACATAAGCCCAGCTTCCCATTATACACGGAAACTAACAGGAGTAATTCTGGGCATTTGAAATAACTTCATCAACATCCAGGCTAGATATTGTTGATCAATATCCTACAACATGAAGGGTAAGGATATAGTCAGCATTACCACGGCAACAAATAGAAAAATATGTAACCAATGCACACATAAACTGTTATCTTTTCCATTGTTAGATAAGTGACGCAATACACAAATATCACAAAATTCAGTGGAGCATTTTCTTTAAGAAAAAGATAATACACATTCTTTTTTCAGATCAGAGCATATTCCAAAAAATTCTGCCAATAGATGAGATGTATCTGTCTAATAGAAGTTGAGATTTCCTTCACCATGATCAGCCAAATATTGGCACGGCCTATTTAATACTAGTAACTAGCTCTACTGTATATTCAATATTCTGAGGAAGATTTCAAATATAGTACCCACCCATATGCTGCAGATACAAAACGCAATGGGGACTTAATACATTCAATCACATTAAAGGTAATTTGGCAACATAAATATTATGGCTAGTAGTGTGATTCCAGCATCAGCAATTGATCAGAATGCAAGGGGACACAAGAAAAATGGTTCCATAAAGCAAATACTATTAAGTCTTAGCTTTGAAAAACAGTGGTTTGAGCATTGTGACCAAACAACAGCAAGCTGGAGTGGTACTGGTAACATTAAATCAAAGAATTGCCATGATCACCGGTGTTATTCATGGTTCATGCATAGAAGGTTTGTTGCACATTAAGGGCAACAATATTTAGTCACAAGATAGCAAAAAAGAAAAACAAGAAGAATATAGAACAAAGACCATGTTGCAATTCTTCTAGTTGTTGTGTTAGTGATCCATGTTCTGACTTCTGAGTCTTTTTTATTTCTTGTAGAAATTAGGTAATTTCCTTACCCAGCTATGAAAACCAAGCCCATAACAGTGATACAGAGTTCAAACAGAAAAAGAAACACAGGCCGACAACCACCAGTACTGCACAAAACAAAAAAGCACCTAAAGGACAAGTGGTAATATGTTAACACTGGGGATACCAGCTCTCGAATATACTTCAGCGACCAAATAAACAGTAACACGCCACTTCTGAGCCTTTATTGGAGTGAGTTGGTAGAATCCTGCAAGGGTTTTTGGAGACTGGGGAGAAAACTAAGCAGCAACCTAGACTGTAGTTATAACAATATTCATTAAGTTTGGAAAAGGCAGATTGGTGAAGCAAAGCTTGATCAGGTTTCATCACAACGACTGGATAGTGAGCAACACAGCTTAAAAGGCTCTCCTAACCACAAAACATCATCACCCCACTCTGACAACCCAACCAAACGTCTTTTTTTTTCTGAAATTTCGTACCAACATACAACGGAAGAACCTGAGCAGTGTCATCAGCAGTATGAAGTAGTTATTCCCACTGAAATGAAATCAATTTAACATCATCGCAGTATCAAGTCTAACATGATCACAGAGTCTGTACTAACCATAACAATCCATCAGTGGAATCCTCACTAGAAATGTGCAAATTTCCAGCAGGAGCGGCCCGATAATTGAGATTTTCCAGCCACAGACCTAAGATTACCACCCTAAATCTTCTAATCGATGCGCATAAGGCACTCGCTGTAACCTAACCACATTCCCAAATCGAACCCAAACCCTAGAATCCCGCATCCCAACACCAATCCCATCACATAAGCCGTGCCCCGCGAGAAAACCCAAAGAGAGACCACAGCACAAGCTCCAGCGGCATGGGTTCAGATCCGCACCTAGTTGTTCTCGGAGGAGGCCTGATGGAGGAGCACCTTGTCCCGGCGGGCCATGGCCATGTCCCAATTGTCGTTCCCGATGTGCTTCGGCTGCATCCATCCAAACGAAACCAAACCATGCGAAAGGTCGTCAGAACGCGAGGGGTTCCCGGATCAGGTGGAGGCGGAGGCGGAGGCGGAGGCGGAAGGGAGAGGAGGAGGAGGCGCGTACCCTGCCATGCGCGGCCCTGTGGATGTAGTACTGCGCGTTCCCCATGATGCAGAGCATGCCGCCGATGATTCCCAGCGGCAGCATCGCCTCCAGCCAGTGAAGCCGCGCCATCGGGATCCGGGCGGCGAGGTGGCGGCTTCTCAGATCGAACCGGCGGGCGGCGGCGGCGGCGGTGATGCGACGGCGAGATTCCCCCGAGCCTAGCTTGCTATCCACCAGAAGCGGTTGGGACCTGCGTCGTGGAGGCCGACGGGGTGGTGCTCGACTTGTGGGTGTAGAGTAATGGGCCGTATCTTCTGGGCCTTGGATGGGCCGTGATTCCCACTTTAGGCCTTCATTGGAATAAGTTCGATTTAGGTTTCTCAAGTTATTGTCCAGTTTGATTTTGGTCCTTAAAGAAAAAACCAGATACAACTCATCCCTCAACTTACAAAACCAGTCCAAACGAGGTCCCTCGGTAGTATTATCTCCTATTTCGGCTGGCGTGGTGCCTACATGGCTTATTCGACTATTTCTTCATCTCACGTGGTAATGATGTGGTGTTTATGTGGCAATTTAATCTGAAAAATAATAAAAAAACTATGGACCCACGTGTCAGTTAAAAAAATTAAAATTGATGGGGCCCACGTGGAGCCTGTATGTCATTCTCACTCCCTCCTCTTCTCTCTCCTCTCTCCGAACGGTCTTCTTCGTCCCCTCTCCTCTCTCTTCATCGTCTTTTATTTCTGACAGTTTAAAGGGTAAAACTATGTTAGAATTTTATTTTTTATGATTAAAGTATAATAAATTTGAAAATAAAATTTTACACATAGGTGCATACTATTTAAAGTATGTATATAAAATTTTCTATGATATTTGTTAGTTTGTGGGTATTAATAAATATACATGAAAAGATTGTGTGTATAAGAGCAAGATCAATAATGGGCGATGGCTGCCGGCAGTAAAAAAGAACACGTCAATAGCGGAGACAGAAAAAGCTAATACGTACATGTCAGGGTTACAGATAAGGCATACCTCATATCCTACAACTTATGGAATATACCGACAGGGTATACCTTCGCGTACACGGATCATCCCTATGAATGTCATAAAGAATATGTTCCAAATTATGGAAAATATCCCTACGAGTCAAGCGATTTCCAAAGTCCTATTCGGAAGGGATAGAATTTATATTTTATCGTACCAGATCAAATATCCTCAGGTATTTCTTGGGGGTCAAGATGATTCACTGTATAAAAGGGACCCCCAGGGGGGATGAAAGGCATACAATTCAATCGCCAACACACCCACCATAGTTTACGAAGCCGGAGTACGTGGAACCAAGTCGCCGGGAGATCTCGTCAAAACCCTCGACTACAATCTCGTCAGTATCGTCTGATTCGACTACTCTATTTGTAATCTGTTCTCATCATCATAAATCCCATATAAATTGGACTAGGGCTATTACCCGATAGGGGGCCTAAACCAGTATAATCATTGTCTTTTATCTGCTTGATGTCGTACTACGTAGACCCTCGTTCCAACGTACCCCAATACTCAACTCATCTGATCCACGAGTATCACTCATCGATAGTACAGCAGCCGGCTATATGCACAAACTTCAATGGATTAATATATCATTTTTTTTAATTTGGCATCTCGCGTCACAGCCTGCTCCCGCCGTCATCGCTTCATCTTGCTCTTTTGTATTGTTTCTTTCGCCTTGGAGCTCGTGTGTAGTTGGCAACTAATTAGTCGCCGGCTCACACCCTGTTCCCTATCCTGATCATCAATAACGTCAGCGTGGATACACTATCACTAGCTAAAATAGTTTATTGTATCTGCTCAAAGAGAAATACCTTCCTCTAATGTAGGAATAGCATTTACATTTAGGTTATCAACGCCCAAGTGGGAGCAGGGACTGGACTGATGCGGAGGTGGTAGGTTGGGGATTCGGCCGGGTGGATGACAAGGTCGGCTGGATTTGTGCCGAAAAGTCACCACCCGCCAGGCCACCATGACGCCGCCGAAGCGAGAGCCGAGCTCGAAAAGCCGAAGCAGCGGCAGACACGGTGGGGACGGCGGAGATGACGCTTTTGTCTTGGGAGTCAGTCTGCTTCGCCTCTGCTACAACAAGCTGCGTGGGCGTCGCAGGCAAAAAAGCAACCAAACAAAACCTATCGAGGATCTCCATCTCCACTGCTTTTTTCACAACTCCTCTACAGCGTCACTGTTTCTCTTTTTCCTAGCCTGGTAGTACGAGGCTGGGGCAGCTAGCCGCTAGCGGGAGAGTGATTGCATCAGCAACACCCCCCGCTTTTCCCAACTGCTACGCCCACATGTACACCCGTACACGTATATAGAATTAAATTTGAAAATATACCGTTCATTCAATTTCTTTTTTCAGAAATATTTGGGATGTAAATTTTTTTACGGAAATATACCGTTGATCTCACACAACCATTCCACAGAAATAACGTAGACGTGACGTCGCGGGCGGTATCACGTGGTGAAAGTGCGAGACCGCGTGGTCTCGCGGAATAGAAGAGCGAGACCGAACAGTTTCACCAAATCAAACAGCGGCACTATCCAGCATCTCCATTTGATTAGTGATTAATTACTCAATTAACAATTAATATAATAATTAGTAATTAATCACTAATTAGGATAATTAATCACTAATTAAATCGGCATGGCATCGGTATCGCTTATTGCTTCAGCGAGACCGAACGGTCTCGCGCCACGCGGTCTCGCGCTTTCACCGCGTGATACTACCCATAACGTTATTCCCATATCATTTTCGTGCAACGGTTATGCGAGACCGACGATATATTTCTGAAAAAAGTTTTGCATCTCGAATATTTTTGAGAAAAAAAAATTAAATAAACAATATATTTCCAAATTTAATTCCACGTACATACTCATGGCTCCCCCAACACTTGCTGCCGCTAAAAAACGCAGGGCATCCAATGCCGGTGCACGTAGGAGTACTCGTGCGGCAGCGGCAGCGGCACGTGCAGGTGACGACGCGTCCACGCGCGAACGTGCGCGAGAAACCCAGTCCGAAAAGGAAAAAAAATATTTGCGAGCTCCGGTGATCCGTGGGTTTGCGCATGTGGGCGTCCCCGGTTTCCGATGTACGGAAGCCGGGTTTTAGAATCAGGGATGATGGTGGGGGGGTTTTTGTCGTGGCGCTCGGTCGGTGGGTCGGTGGGTCGGTGGGTCGCCATGCACGGCGCGCGCGTGTCGACTGGCCGGGGTGCGATTTGCGATTCGCTCTTGGACTCGCATGATCCGATGATATTATGATCCCCAGTGCCCCTGTGCTATGAACTCTCCTGCAAGTGAGGCTTTAGGACTAGAGAAGACGTTGATGCAATGATGATGTTTAGTGTGTAGGAGTTGGGTGGTGTTTGGAATACATGGACTAAATATCATATGTTTAACACTAATTAGAAATATTAAACGTAGACTAATAATAAAACTAATTGCATAAATAAGAACTAATTCACGAGATAATTTTTTAAGCCTAATTAATTCATAATTAGCACATGTTTACTATAGCATCACATAGATTAATCAAGAATTAATTAGGCTTAATAGATTCGTCTCGCAAATTAGTCCAGGGTAGTCTACATTTAATACTTCTAATTAGAATCTAAACATCATATGTGACAGGGACTAAAATTTAGTCCTATTTTAGTCCCTAGATCCATACAGACCCTTAGTATGTGACAGCGTCGTTACAGCATCTCCGTGAAAAGCTAAAAACATATCCCTAAAACTAAATTTTGATGGTTAGAAAATCTGGGCTCCAACAGATACCCAAAATCGTTCTCAAATGTACCTCATGCCAAAAACCAGTTGCAAAGCGAGCCAGAATTGAAGCAACTCGATCGATGCTCCCAATCCAACTCCCACGTGATTTTTTTTAACTGTCGCGTGAAATTTCTCGTCAGGTTGTCATCGGCTTATCCTCGTTCATTGTGCCCGCTATTGCCCAACCTCGCTATCCGTTCAAGGTAAGGGCAGTCGTCAGTCATCCTCTCCGTTGTTGGTCGTCACTGCTTCCTTCTCCAGCTATACTGCTTCCACCGCTCCGCTGCAAGACGTTGCCGCTCCTTTCGTTGGCTGTTTTCGCCCTCTCCACTGCAGGGCACACCTATCTCTCCACCGCAGGAACCGTCTTCACCTCCTTTGTCAGTGTGGCCCCAACTCTACATAACGCCAGCCAGTATGAGGCCAAACTTGGTAGTACAAGTCAATTGATTGTCTTGTGTTTGATGCAATCTCACCTGGTAATGCTTGACATTACAATAGTTTTCAGGACAATTTTCACATGTTAATAATAAAAATACAGAACTGAATGAATAATAATCAGATTGGTTAAGACGTATAGTGTACATATTGATAGTGTAAGTTGAGCGACAACAATAGAAGCGACGTATGGCAACTAATAGACAATAACGCAGAAGGCAGCGGTCAGCCAACAAATAGTGACGTAGAACCACGGATGCGACGGTCCCACTAACTGCCTACATGGCCAACAACCAAAATATTGGGATCTAGAAATGGGAAATCTGTAGAAGGAGAGAGTGATTTTTTGGGCATGCTTTCTTTGGCCCTAATCTATCTACTTGTTCAATACAATTGTAACTTATTACCTCTATCTTAAAATAATTTTAATAGTTATTTTTAAGCTATATCTTGGATATAACCTTGGTTCCTTGTCTAGTAAATACGGAGATAGAAGTTGTTGAAAGTTAACGCTATAGGAAAAAAAAGAATATTATTATTGATTATAATTCATATTCGTGAGTTGTGCTTCCAAAGATTGAGATTATTACATATTTTTTCTTAACATGCATAAGTCTTTTTCTCTTAGAGTTGGATAATCATATCTCAGTCAGTTCTACGAATACTCGATCTATATTACTCCGTTGTACAATTTATAACAACACTCTACGTATGTCTTGTAGCAATGTACGTATGGGGTCGCTGTAGTATAATCGTAGGCGCTCACAACACGCACACGCTTAATATTAGACCGACATATCTTGAAATTAATAAAGTCCCCGGACTCACCATGAGCGCATCGATATCGACAGATACGCCATATATCACTGAAAGAATAATTAGCCGTAAATATAAGTAATGTGTCACTTAACAGGCGTCTACACACGTTTGATAGACATATCATAAAAGTACTACACAAGACATCATCGTGATCCATGCGACGAATTCCACAGTAAATGATCTACTCTAGAATTGATTGTTGACTTTTAGGGCCTCGATGTGTCGCAGATCGATCGACGGTGGGTCAGCTGCAACGCTCTCAAACCAGCTGGGTCAGTCTCTGTGAGGAACACGTGACAAAGAAGTGGTACCACAATTACACACACACATGCATGATAATTTGGCATTAAATCTAATTCTCTGTCGATCACCAACCATGTATATATCGTGTTAGGTTGCAGATTCCTAATTGGCCATTGACACCTTATTAAAAATCATGAGATGGTGTGCTTAGTTAACATCAGCTCAGGCTTAATCGACGGACTGTCTTTTGCTCCGGCCAACGTCATCTCGATCGAGACAATTCAGATGCATCTTGTTCGAGACAACGTCTGGTTTACTGGTAGAATTAGCAGAAGCCAGTTGGATCGCTAACCAAATCAAAGGTTGGAACTGAAAAAGAGGAGAGAAAAAAATCAGAATAAATATGTGATATCATTTCCTGACACGAGCCAGCTGACAGCCTTATAATTCAGTTCAATAATTTTGGCTGGTTATACAGCCTTGCATGCTCCACCGGTTTATGTTTTGCCTGTGGTTTTCGTTACGCGAACGATAAACTCCAAAATGGTACTCTGTTTTTTTTAAGATAATGGTACTCTGTATTGAATTGGTCGATTGCTACTCCATGTTTGAAAATGATGCTGCCCATTGCCATCATACAGTGGTCACTCTCCATCGGTTTGAAGAAGCATTTTTTAGGCCGTGCCAAATTTCAAATTTGTCCGAGCTTGTAATTACACTGGTGGAGAAACCATCTTTGGTTGGTCGACCAAATTTCACAATAGTCCCGATTCCATTAAAAACCGGGACTAAAAACGATTTTTAGTCCCAGTTTAAAAAATTTTGATCTTTAGTCCCGGTTGGTAACACCAACCGGGACTAAAGATGATTTGTAGTCCCGGTTCATCCCCTATCAGATGTATGTCAGGGGGTCGAGGATCTTTAGTCCCGGTTCATACTACCAACCGGGACTAAAAATTACCACTTTAGTCCCGGTTGGTATCAGATCGAGTGATCTTTACTCCCGGTTGGTAATATCGATCTTTAGTCCCAGTTGAAGTTATCAACCGGGAGTAAATATTTCTCTCCCACATCCGATCGGTTAAGTCCCAGACAGATATTTAGATAAGATTGGAACATCCCCTCTCTTGCTCTTCTCATATCCAATCCTCTTCCTCCTCCCCTCCCCTCTCTTCCTCCCCTCCTCCCCTTCCTCTTCTCCTCCCCTCTCCTTCCTCCTCCTCCCCTCTACTCCGTCTTCCATCAGCCGGCCGGCGGCGGGCGGCGGCGGCGCGGCCGCGAAGGGGGAGGCGGCGGCGGGCGGCGGCGTGGCCGCGCGCGTGGAGGCGGCCGGCGGGCAGGCGGCTGTGCGCAGGCGGTGGCCGGGCGCTGGCTCGATTTCTTTTTTTTTCTTTTTTTTTTGTAAGTTGTGTTTCACTGGATGTATAATTTTGTGATTCATTGCATCGCATGGATCTAAGATGTATAATTTGTATAATCTGTGATGTATTTAATTTGTGTGTAGTTTTTAGGATTTGTGATGTATTTGATTTGTGATGTTGATTTGGGATGTGCATCTCATTCGATTCGGGAGAAAATACATAGATTAACACTAGCCATTAGCAAATCAACAACAAAATAATAATAATAATAAAAAATCTCGAGGAACTGTCGCTTCCCCTCTTTAGTCCCGGATTCCCCCTCTTTACTCCCGGTTGGTGTTACCAACCGGGACTAAAGATCGATCTTTAGTCCCGGTTATTTGAACCGGGACTAAAGATAGCGATCTTTAGTCCCGGATTCGTAGTCCCGGTTGGAAAACCGGGACTAAAGGGGGGTTATCAACCGGGACTACAAACGGTTTCTCCACCAGTGTTATTATCTCATTATTTTATTGAAAAGGTAATGTTGGAACTCTCTTGTGCACATAAAATACTTCATTATTTAATTTTATCGGACAAAAAAAGAAACCTTAAAAGTTAACTTGAAAAAACGAATTTTTATCAAAACAATATTTAAAAGAACAAAATAGACATGTCCATATATAATAGTATATGTCATATATTGACACATAACATGACACTAATATTTATGGGCATGTTCAAATTGATGCTATTTTTAACCATATTATTTTTTTGGATAAAGTTGTAAAAAAAATGACTACATTTAGTTTGTTGTCAAACTTTGGTAAATACATAAGAAATCCTGCCAAAATTTTGGTAATATTGTCAACTTGCCAAAATTTTGGTAAGGTTTATTTTGATAATAATCTAAACAACCCCTATATGTTTTCTAAGTAATAAGTTAGTAAAACAACACCGCCACGTCTCGACTATAGCGTAATGCTAACTCTAGTGACAAGGAATTAGTATAAGTTAGTAAAACAACACCGCCACTTCTCGACTATAGCGCGATGCTAACACTAGTGACAAGGGATCAGCGTATATCTCCAAACGTACAACTGAAGACAACACATATGCATTGTCATATATTGCTAGCTAGCTATCATCAACTCTTATGCACTTGAGATCGTCACATCACAGCTATCGAGCGTGACACATATGGTTATTGTCCGCATTCATAACATCAAATGTATACCAATTTTCTTTTGTGCAATGAGAATTTACGTAGCGCTCTTTTATTTATATATATATATCCAAATAATGGCGAATAGTACTATACAATAAATATCGACTATATCTAGCATGGCACAAATATGTCATTTCAAGGAAAAAAACATACTAACCTCAATCTATAATACACACATTTTTTCTGGAAAAAGATAAAAGCCCCTCTATTTTGTAAAAGAAAAAGAATACACACTCCATCTTTACAAAAACACTCCACATATTTTTCCTTTTAGTTACGTAATTCTTAACTTTTAAGATCAAACTATTTTAACTTTGATTATCAATAATTCTAAAATATTTAATTTAAATCCTACAATACGATATATAGATTAGCAAAAAAATACTTTAATAAAATTAAATGTTTACTTATTTAGTTTTGCATACTATAATATATAAAATCAAAAAAAATATAATAAAACCCATGCCGTTGTCTAAAAATAATACTTCTAAGGTTGTGTTTAGTTCCACGTCAAAATTGAAAGTTTGAAAAAATTGAAACGACATAATGGAAAAGTTGAAAGGTTGTGTGTGTATGAAAGTTCGATGTGACATAAAAGTTAAAAATTTAATGAAAAAAGTTAAAATCTAAACAGACCTAGGAATTACGAAACCGAAGATAGGTAACCTGAAAATGGCAACTGGCAAAGTACTCGCAGGCCAGATACGCCGCCGCCGCGTCGTACGAGCATATCTCATCGCTCTCGCGCGGTCTCGCCGACTCACGACGGGGCTCTCGTTTTATAGTAAACCCTACCGGCGAAGCAGGTGACGGCGGCGGCGCGGGCGCGCGCGCGCGAGACGACGACGACGTCGTGCGCACTGCGCAGCGCAGAGGGGGGGTTTTGCCGAGATTTTCCTAAAAAGGGGACCTCGCCACCGTACCGAGAAAAGAAAAAGAATACGAGGCGAAAACCAACACCTCTCTCTCGTCTCTCCCCCTCCCCGACTCGACTCGACTCGACTCCACCCCCGTCCTCCCCCTCGTCCCGTCCCTTCTTTGGTTTCCTCCTCCCCAATCCGAGGGGTGGCTGGGGCCGCCGCCGCCGCCGCCGCCATCGCCATGGACGGGCTGCACGGTACGGACGGCTGCTTCTCTCCCGGGCGGGCCATGTCGCCGCAGGTCAGGCCCCCCGTCCCGCCCGACGCTGCCAGCGGCGGGTAAGGACCGGACGCCACGATTGGGTTTTGATTTTGTGTTTTTTTTTTCTTTCTTTGTTCTTCTTCTTGCGCGGAGAACACAACAGAAGGAATTATTTCTTTCTCTGAATTGCGGCTTGTTCCTTGTGTTTCTTGTGGTGTTGGCTCTGCTCGGGATGGATGGATGGATTGGATTGGATTGCGGTGGTGGTGGTGGTGGTGGTGGTGAAGCAGGCAGTACTTGGCGGAGTTGTTGCAGGAGCATCAGAAGCTGGGGCCGTTCATGCAGGTGCTCCCAATCTGCAGCAGGCTGTTGAATCAAGGTGAGGAGCTCTGCTCGCCCTGCTTACTGAGTGGATAGCATTCTTGGATCGGATTGGAGTGTTCGTCTTCTCCGATTCCACGGCCTTGGCTAATTTGCTCTTGCTCGTCCCTGCTCGATGATGCGAAACTTAGCTCGATCGGGGTCTATGCGCAATCCTAGTGTGTTTCGTAGGGCTTGAAAGGTTGTAGCTTGATTCTTGACAAGAGACTGTATCAGTGTATCTTTTCTTCAGTGGCAATCAAGTGTTTTCATGTGTGTCCATGCTGATGCCATGTGCTAATGTTTTGCTGCTGACAGAGATAATGCGAGTGTCTGGGATGTTTCGGCAACCCGGCGTAGGGGACTTCGAGAGGTCGCAACCTGCAAGCCCAAATCAGATGCATCCGTCGCACATCGTGCCCAATTTCTGTGGTAATGCTTTTGGTCCATGGAATGGGATGCGTCCAGAGGTGAGCATTAGTTATCCAAGTACACGAACACGCTATATGCAGTCATGTATCGTATTTGATCACTAATCTGCAGGAGCTGTTAAACATTTCTACAAAAGGACTGCTATGTAAAATATCACTGATAAGTTGCGTTATACTTATTAGAATTGCGATATGCAAGGATGGAAACAAATGAATGCGCAAGGTCCTCAATTTATAGGGTGCCATCAATTTAATCCATCAAGGTCCTCTTGAAGTAAAACTGGCTTTTAAAGAGTATTATGTATACCCTTAAAAGAATGATTACTATACATGTCACAACAGGTAGCCTATGGCCATCATATAGCTTTTCTACATCGAACCTCGTGTGGTTTATAGAAGAGGTCAGTGATTTTTATTTGGAATGGGTAACATTTTGATCAGCTCATCTTGACTTTTGTCATGCAAGATCCACTTCTCCCCTGCCGCCTCTTAACCTTTGGACTTCTGAATAAGTTATCGCCACAATACCTGTAAACGTTATATCAATGTAAGACGCGGATTGTTGTTTAGAGTTTATACTCTCCTTTCTCTTTAATATTTCATCCCATACACGAATTCTAAAGTATGCATACATTTTCTTTATATAAAGAGCTATCAAGAACTGCAACTTTCCATGTCTATTTCATTCAGGATATAAGAGAAACGAGTGCAACATTGAAACTTCAAAGTCCAGAAGCTCTGGTGCTTGAGTCGTTAAAATCCTTTTAGAATGAAGAAATTTTGTTATATACAACTATTTTGTATCATTAGCACTGCCCGCTCTGAAAAAACAAATGATGCTATGTATGTGGAACTACCCATATTTGATTCAGAGGATTAGTTTCCTTCAGAAGAAAAGGAAGAGAAGACTTTATTGTGACTTGAACACATAATCTCAGTCACCTCAACATTGTGCTTTACCATAGGGCGCACATTTTTTTTGTTCAGCACTGTCACTTCTGGTGTTAGTTGTTAGACCTATCATGCTCCTAATAGCAGACAATCATCAGTCCAGAGACTCTGATGTAAGTCCCTCTATCTTACAACACTTCCACTGCTTTACAGCAACAGAGCAATGGATGTCGTATTATTTTTCTCATCCTGGCAAAAAAAATTAAAGTTTACCAATTTTGGCTGGCCATTTCTTGGACAGTGTGCCAGTGTGGTCAAAATACTTAGATATCTTCCTTACATAGGCAACCAAACGAATAACCTGCCCTAAACTGTTACTTCTCTTGTCCAAATCATATAGTCTCTGCATTGTGCAAATGCAATGAAGAGAGTGTTCAGAGCTCTAAGTTAAGTTGGTTGAGAAACCTTGACTTTCCATTCTATGTGGCACTACTACCAATACATTCCAACAGAGAATGTTGTTTTTCGTTCCTTGTTTTTCCATGTGCCTTTCAAATTATATTATGCAACTGGATTGGTGAACTTCAATAACATTTAGCAAATCATATGATTAACTCTTAAAATGCTTAACGAATTCTCTCTCTGGAGGGAAATATATGTCGTTTCAGACAATTGAACTGACCCGCTTTTAGGACAATTTGCTTGTCGGAAATGACAAGTAATATTGACCTTAAGGAGTAATTATTAGGAAGTGTAACTATTCTTTTACCGAAGGATGTATTGCCATACTTATTATCAAGATCTTAATTTTTTTTTGCAACTCAATTCTGTATTACGTAGTCGCACGGGAATAAATAGATATGCCTCTTAACAAGAAATTTCATAGCATATTCTTGAGTAGATTTTATGAACTAGGGATGAATAGCATAGCTAGTTATAAGAACATCAGGCTGATTTCCTTACTTCTATGGTTCCATTTCCTGTGGATCTTCAGCTATGTTTGGCCTTCTTGTTCAGTGCTACATTTATTGTATTCTCCATACCCTAACTCCTGTGGCACCTAACCTTGTTATTCTCACATTGAGCAGAGAGTAAGTTTCTCTCAAGGACCAGGTTGGCAAGGAGCACCACAAAGTCCCTCTTCTTACATTGTCAAGAAGATCTTGCGGTTGGAAATACCGACAGATGCTTACCCTAATGTATGCTCTTCATTTTCATATTTGTGTATTTGGAGTTAATATTTACTCACTGTGTTGTGCTTCCCTTAGTTCAATTTTATTGGTCGCCTTCTTGGACCAAGGGGAAATTCGTTGAAGAGGATTGAGGCCTCTACAGGTTGTCGTGTTTTCATAAGAGGAAAGGGCTCAATTAAAGACCCTAACAAGGTAAACAAAACCCACCTTTTGTGGAATATCAATGTGGAACTATGCAGTGGATACGGTTTGTGTGTTTAAATGGCTATTTCATTGTCTGTTTCTATTGTTTGGCAAGCTAACGATGCTCACATGTGGTTCCTTTCATTTCTTAAAAGGAGGAGCAACTTAAGGGAAGGGCTGGGTATGAACACTTGGATGATCCCCTGCATATCTTGATTGAAGCCGAGTTACCTGCCAATGTCATTGACGCTAGACTCGCAAAAGCACAAGAAATCCTAGAAGAGTTGTTGAAACCAGTGGTATGCATATGTGTCTTGAGTCAGTTATCTTTCTTTCCATTCATTAACATCCAAACATCGCAACAAAAAAAAGAGCTTTGTGTTAGTACATTTGCAATTAATAAGTAATAAACTGAACATAGCTTGCTCTTTTCTCCCACTATCATTTTCACAACTTCCATCTTCCTACGGCAGCTGTTTTATCTTAATGTGTTTTGTAGTGCACTACTTAGTACTAACACATTTCTACTTCATATACTTGTCTTTCGAAATCATAATTCGTACGTACTTTTCGTGCCTCTTTTCGAATGCTAATTCTTTCACGCTGTGCTATATAGGATGAATCGCAAGATTACTACAAGAGACAGCAACTCCGAGAACTTGCTTTGTTGAACTCACCACTTAGAGAGGAAAGCCCACATCCTGGTAGTGCTTCTCCATTCAGTAATGGTGGCATGAAACGGATGAAACAATGACTGGATGCTTGTTCCTCCTCCTCCTTGACCCTCCAAGAGAAATCAATCAATCCATGCCTTCACAACTTAAATTTTTCATGAGCAAAGCTTTCATGATGGTGTTGGCATTCGCGCGGCAATCTGTTACTGCTAGAATTTTGATCTCCATGTGACATTTTAACTCATAACTGACAGATGATGGATGAGTAGCGAGGCGAAATCCTCCCCTATGGTTGTATAATTAGAACATTTGATTTATTTATTACTGGTAGTGCTGAGATACTGATAGTGTGAAGAATTCTTAGTTACTGTGAGCTAGAGTACCAGGGATTTGTCTGCCTTGGGTGACTTGTCTGAGCAACATGTTTGCAAGCTGCTATCGAAGCATTTGTCAAGATGGAATATTCTTGAGCCTTACAGTTATACTTAGATTGATAACTATGTCCTCTATGTGCAAAATTTGCTATAGGATACCGAAAGATTGTGCCCTTTGTTGTGAAACACCCGAAGATCGTGTATTTGCTTGTGGACACCGTAAAAAAGTGGTAATTAGTTGGCGGACACTGACCGTATTATTTTATTATTTCTGGTGGAAACGGAGAGAAACTTTGGTTAAAAACAAGTTTGCCCATAGGTCCACTTGTCAATATCTCTCTCTCTTCTTCCTCTCTTTCTCTGTTCATCTCTCTCATTGCACCGCCGCCGAGCTCCGCCGTGGCCATGAAGCAGCATTAGCAGCAGCAGGCTATGGCCTGTTCATCAGAACAGCAGATTGTTCCATGGCTGAAGCACAACAAGAAGTCGCAGCAGCAGCGAAAGGGTACCGATCTTCTCCCTTCTCGCCGTCATCGATGTCCCCCACTCTGTCACCTCCACTGGTGGCAGCTGTCCATGGAGGCGGAGGAAGAGCGGAGGAGGCCACCACCATCGCCGCCACTGCAACGCCAGCCGCACGGAGTTTGGCTGCAGGGGACAACGGCATGCAGGTGAGTGGCCATGGCGAGCATGCTGGGTTGAGCTCCGGGCGGCGTCGTGGCCGGCCAAAAGGGTCCAGGCGGCGCCAGATCCTTGCCAATCTAGGTCAGTATATTGCCGTCCACCCGCGCGCACTCGCCATGGCCAGCGGCAGTGGCACCGGCGCCGGCCTTCCACTCGAAGAGCTAGGGCTTGACGGTGCTGTACTCGACGCGCTCTGGCGATGCGCCGCCGCCGCCGTCCCACCGTCGTCGCGCCTCTGCTCCGCTGCGAGGAAGAAGAAGGGGAAAAGAAAAGAAGAGAGAGAGAGAGAGGAAGCCATGCACCGGGATGCCGCCGTGCGTCGTCACTGTCGGCGGTGAACCCCGGCGATGCGCCGCCGCCGCCGCCCCGCTGTGGCCGCCGTCGCGCCTCTGCTCCACTGCGAGGAAGAAGGGGAAAAGAAAAGAAGAGAGAGAGAGGAAGAACAGTGTCAAAGGGTTATTTTGGTATTTACACAACTCTTTCTCTCTCCATTTCAACCGAAAATAATAAAATAATAGGAGTGTCTAGTAGCTAATTACCACTTTTTACAGTGTCCACGAGCAAATACACGATCTTCGGGTGTCTCACAACAAAGGCCACAATCTTTCGGTGTCCTGTAGCAAATTTTGCCAAAAGGTCTTTCATTGCTGAGTTGCTGCTGATGTTAGGATACAGTGATACACATTAGAAAGCAAGATGTTGATCGTTTGAGGCTTTGAGCTATGGCTAATAAGCAGTAGAAATAATTTATGGATATTTTTTTCTGTATGTCTCCGTTATTAGTTAGTGGTTTAAAAGCTAATGTAAAAAATGGAATATGATTAAGAAAACCTAAAATCAATTTTAAAATTTAAATTTCAGTCGTGGCTGATAAGCTACCAAATACTCCCTCCGTCCCCTACTATAATGGATTTTGAGTTTTTGCTTGCACTGTTTGATCACTTGTCTTATTAAAAAATTTGTACAAATACAAAAAAAAAGAAAAATTATGCTTAAAGTATTTTGGATAATAAAGTAAGTCATAAAAAAATAAATAATAATTTCAAAAATTTTTGAATAAGACGAGTGGTCAAACAATACAAGCAAAAACTCAAAATTCTTTATATTATGGGACGGAGGGAGTAGATGATATGAGGCTTATTCCCCCGTTTAGATTCACAATGCTCTTCTAAACTTTCTTTTAGCTAAGCTGAACAAGGCTTTCAAAGCGAGAAGACGAAACGCCTGCAAAAAGGGAGGAATTTCAAAGTAATTTTGGAGGTATTGGGCTAAATCCTATAAAAGAATGCTGTAAAATTTATGTGATCCAAATGAGTCCTCAACAATTCAGATTTGATATGATACTGTAGACTTGTGGATCATTCTGGTCGCCTGCACTGAAGCAACTCAGCTGCGGCTTACTCCCTCCGTCCCATAATATAATTAACCTAGTACGATAGTCCAAATTCGTAGTATTAGGATGTGCCAATATGAAATACTAAGTTTGTTACTTAGAAGTATAAAAGATTATCCTCAAATTATCTTTTGAAAGTTACACGGACGTTAACTTGTATGTTATTTGTCATTAGCTAAAAATGTCTTCCAACCAAGATGAGTTAACAATGCAGCGAACAGAGCATAACTCTGTTAGTTTTTTTATGGTGAAGTCAGTCTATTTAAGTTTTAACTCATAGATTTGAGAGCGGGGCCTAGCTTGACTAGCAGGGAGCTGCTAGGAGCAGCACGCCTATTTAGTTCGAATCCCTTTGAGCGTATATTTTCTCACCATTTTTTTCTTTATCAATAACGGAAGTCCTTACTCCTTAGTATCTCTATCAATAAGGGATGATAAGTTCCTCAGTTCTCCTCAGATTTACGTGGGTGTTTATATTTACGGCTAACTAATTCTTTAGTTATAAGTAGAGTACTCGTTGACACGTGGTTGATCATGGGATATGTTGGCCCATATTGTCAAATGTGCTAGTAGAAATAGCGTGTCTGTGTGTTTACCGCAGTATTTTTTTCTCAACAATTAGTACTTGCGTTTTAAATCGATCGTCATTCTTTGTTATAAGTCGAAATTTCTATCTTTTGACTAGCAATTTTAGAAATTTATATAGTTTAATAACATGTGGATTATATACTATTAAAATACTTCGCGTGGAGAATATAAAAACCATAAATATTGTGATATTAAACTGTACAAATTTATAAAAACTGATAGTAAAAAAGCTCCCTTTTTTGGGGAAACCCTATATTCCAAACTGCTTTGAGTGAAAATACCACATATACTTACTTACGCCAAATTACGCCGTCGTAGGAGAGGTAGATGCTGTCGAACGAATATCTAGGAGAGATCCCGTTGTTGACGGCTGTTAAATACCAAATTAACGCCGTCAATACCTGCATAAAACCATAAAAGTAAAGCATCCAACGTAGTGGTAGGATTTATTTCTAACCATTTACACAAGTGTTGGTGTATATTTGGATGCGGGTGACGAACCACCAAAGCATGAGCTGAATTACAAGAGGCTCTAGTGTACTTTATTGTATATTAGAATAGGGAGAGAGTAAGGTAGAAGAAATCGGAGAAATCCCGGAGTTGTCGGTAATCTCCTCCTACTTTTGTATCTTGTTAATTACTCTGCTTTAATAGAAATATCATTATGAGTAATTAAGATTTGCTTAGTGAGAATTACTTCTTGGTTAGTTTCTAATTAGCATACATGATCATTATTCACTATAGTCTATTTGTTTATAGTGATTGCTTTAGTGTTTGATCGCCAGTAGTTATAAGCCAGGTACAATAGCAGACTATAAGCCAGCTATAAACATATTTTAAAGAGATAAAAAAAGAGAGAGAAGAGAAGCGGGCTACATATCTGTAGCCAGCTGCAGCACGGACTCCAAGACGTAATATGTGTATGATAGGTGGGACCAGATATTAATAGTGTAGCAAGCAACTATTGTATAAATTGGCTATTACATTGGATATAGATGATTTGGAGTTAGTAGTTGATTATACTATTAAACTTGCTCTTAGGCCATTCACAATGCTCCCATGTGGCATTCAGCCTCACCCCTAGAAACGGAATATTCGTCCCCACGTCGGCAATCCACGCGGCTTGCCCAAGACCGTGGAGCCAACTTTGGCTCCCCGTTCCTCCTTTGTTTCACAGGTGGGGCCCACACTCGTGGGCCGTGTCGTCCTACCGCCCCAAACCCCGCTCGCTTCCACCGCCCGACGCTGCCGGGGAGAGGAGAGCATCGCCGAAGAGGGCATGGCCCCATGCAAGGGGGCGACGGGCGTCGCCGGCGAGGCCACCACCCGAGCTCGCCGGAGAGAAGGGAGGAAGGAAAGATGGACCACTACCATCGTCGTCATTGCTGCCGACCGAAGGCAGATCTAGCGAGCTCGGCGCCGCCGCCATCCGAGGACGGATCTGGCGAGCTCGGCGGCGCCGCCACCGTCGTCCGCCGGGAAGAGGAGAGGGTGAGGCCTGTGCCCAGCGCCGCCGGAGGGGACGGGGAGGGGAGGGAGCCGAGGGAGGTGGCCGGAGGGAGTATTGATCATGTGAGCCGCCGCTCGACCACCCCGCCGCCGCTCGGGCCGTCCCGCCGGCCGCCGCCGCTGCCCCTCGATCCGCGGCGCCAGAAGAGGAGGAGGAGGGGAGGCGCTTGAGCCACCCCGTTGACCAGTTCTGGCGTTGCCGCTCGGGCCGTTCGTGCCGCCACCCTTCCACTGCGCTGCTCCACGCTGCCGCCCGTCCGCCGCGCCGCTCGACGCCGCAACTGGGTGGTTCGGCGCCGCCGCCGCGCCGGAGGAGGAAGGGGAAGTGCGGCGAGAGGAGAAGGGGCGAGGCGCGTGGGCGGAGATGGAGAAGCGCGCGTAGGTGGGGAGCGGACTGAGGATAAGGGAGAAAGAAATGATTTTTTTTATTTGTGTGGCTACTCTTTGAGGCTATGTAGCACTGTGAGACTTGTGGCAAGTATTATTCTTCTTGTGTCTTCGTCCTATGTGACAGCCCCAGGCTGAGAAAAATAGGTGGCGCACTGCTAATCCCCTTAAGGCATCCACAATGTAAGACACTTCTAGAGTGTCCTCGTTAACTGAGGACACTTGTAGAAAAACTCAGCTAGCACTGAAAATTTATTTGTTTGATGCAGGTCGGTAAAGGAGTCAATTTTTTGGGCAGTGCAAGCCACCTTTTTGGAGTCACAATGTTTTTTTGGTCACATGGATAGGTGTCAGACACATCCATGTGAGGGAGTTACTTGTAGATGCCATGTGTTTACTTATAGATGAAGTAGTTGTGATATGACATAGCGTATAGTGTGAGGGTTACTTGTCTATTGGGATAGATGTCAGGAATACTACTCCATTGAGTAGTGCTTCGATCCATGACAGGGATACATGTTACTTGGCTTTCATATCAGTACCGCTTTGATCCATTGAGACACATATCAATGCTACGTGTGATTTACTACCTCCATCCTATTATAATTACATTTCTACCATTTAAATTTTGTCCTAAAAATATTGTATTTCTGATAAGATGGGACGCAACAAATGGAATGTGTACCCAAACCTTTCTTTTAATTAAGTTTACATATGGAATGTGTTCCTCAACCTTCCTATTAATCAAGTATACATATGGAATATACGTATGCAGCATAGTTATTAAATAGGGTTATTGTGGTAAATTGTGTTTGTTGTTAATTTGTCTCTAATTTTCTAGAAATGTAATTATTATGGGATGGAGGTAGTAGCTTTTATTGTTGCAGATACTACATGAACTACTTTAATTTATGTCTTAGTAGAGAGATCAAGGCCACTGTACTTTGGTGCTACTTGACATTTATGTAGTAATAGATATTGGAAGACTATACTACCTTCTGCTCCCTCCATTCTACAATATAAGTTATTTTCAGTTTTTGCTTGCAACGTTTGACCACTCGTCTTATTTAATTTTTTTTAAATATAGAAAACGAAAAGGTGTGCTTAAAGTACTGTAAATAATAAAGTAAGTTACAAATAAAATAAATAATAATTTCAAAAAATTTTGAATAAGACGAGTGGTTAAACGTTGTAAGAAAAACTCAAAATCTCTTATATTATGGGACAGAAGGAGTATTGATCATGTGAGGTCGAAATGCTGGGATTCATATTAGCGTATCGGTTGGTTCTGTTAGGCCTCTCACAGTGCTCTTAGCTGGACCGGTGCTACATGGTGCCAGCTGGGCTTTTCGCGTGAGTGGCAGATGGATGCGCACCCTAAGCTCCTCGCTAGGACGAGGAGGAGGCGAGGAGACCCGCAAAAGCACGAGGCTGTTTTATGGCCCCACGTGCCGCGCACCCCAGAATGGCACCGCCACGTGTCAGCTGAAGGCTGCCAGCGGGCCCACCATCCGTACGGCCCGTCGGATTCCCCCGCACGAACCCCGAGGCATCAAAAGTTGGAATTCGAAATTTCAAATTCAGCCCAGAGGGTGCCCGTCTCCAAAAGGCAACAAGCGACTCCACTGTCTCTTTCCTTTCTCTTAGTATTTTTTTTTCTCTCGGAGAGGAGAAGAGAGAGACCCATTTCCTCCTCGCGTAGTCGCGTGCAGGGGAGAAGAAGGGTTTCGGCGGAGGGAGGAGGAGCCATGGCGGCGGAGGCCGGCAGCGCGGCCGCCGGCGCCGCCTACGAGGAGGAGCGCCGGAAGCGGGTCCTCGAGAACCTCAAGCACCTCGAGGTGAGCCCGCCCGCCCGTGCACACAAGCGTTTCAGATTTTTTTTTTTTTTGGCTCTCATCTCTTTCTCCGTTCCTCGTTGTGGATCGTGGATAGATTTGAGGTGCTTTTTTTCCACCGGTAGAACCTGATTCGTTTAGAGGATGGATGTTCGTGCGGGATTCCACGCATTCCCCTTTGCCGATTCCGTGTGGATTGGATGCACTGTCGCAGCATCAATTTATCTTTCTTTTTTTCTTTTTGGTTGAAATTTCGGTGCTTGATTCTGCGCAGGATCTGGGCATAAAGAAGATGTCCAAGAGCTTGCTGGAGGCGGCGAGATTGCAGAAGGTGATTACGGCAACCTATGCTACACGCGGGGGATTTGGGTTGCTGGTATCGTGGATTGATTTACTCTGGGTCTTCTTGCAGAGCACTCGTGCCAGCCCCAAGCCGCGGAAGAAGTTTGAGGTTGGGGCCACTGAAGTGAGGCGTTCATCGAGGGCGCGCAACTCGGTTTCGTACAAAGAGAATGTGAGTTGGTCCACTTCAAAGCTAGTGCTATTTGATTGGTAGTGTTGCTTTTGTTGGGGATTTAGGAAGAAATTTTGCGATGTCTATTCAGATACTGTAGTCATGTTCTAGAACAAGTTTGTGAGTCCAGTTTTTTATATGGGTTACAATCCCAAATGAATCCTTAATGACATGATCCTAGTTTCATTTAAACTAACATTCCATATATTTTGTTAATATGTTCATTTTATGTACAAAATATTGCTAAATTTTTCCTATAAATTTGGTCAAACTTAAAGAAGTTTGACTAGGAAAAAAAGTCAAAACGACTTATAATATGAAACGGAGGGAATAATTACTTAGAGTTAAAGCGCAAGGAAGCTTTGTTTTGTTCGTGAAGTGATGAAAGATTATTTTCATGCAAATGTTGGTACTAAGTTGTGCTCTTTTTATTGTGCCAGTTTGATGAACTCAACAGTTTTCTATGCCGTAGAAGGTAATACTTCCATATGGTTTACAGATTTGTGATAGTTGTGGCTGTGGCCAGGCAATATAATTGGCTACTTGCTTGTGTTGAACAGGGGCAGTAGGATTAGGAGCACAGAGCAGGGGAGGGATTACACCGGAAGAGTTGCCTCTTATGAACAGCAACAACGTGCTTTCAAAAAAGCTGAGAGACTTCAAAATAGTCTAGACCCTGAGAACCCGTCGTTTGTTAAGACCATGGTTCGATCACATGTGTCCAGCTGCTTTTGGCTTGTAAGGTTTCGTTGTATGGAATTCATTAACTAATTTTGTTAAAAATATTATGATCAATGAGTACTCATAGCTATGTTTCTTTTCCATCCTACAAGGGTCTTCCAACTAGATTCTGCAAATTGCATCTGCCTCCCAAAGAGTATAAGATGGTCTTGGAGGATGAAGAGGGTGGTGAATTTGATTCTGTCTACATTGGGAACCGTACAGGCCTAAGTGGTGGATGGAGAGGTTTTGCGATGCACCACAACTTGGAAGATGGTGATTCATTGGTCTTTGAATTGGCTGAACCAGACAGATTTAAGGTACTATACTTTATATTGGATTCAATGACATGTTTCATGGTAATTTGGACCTCACAAATTTCCTAGCATGAAAAATTTAAGCATGCAAACACTAACCATATTATTGATTTCTTTTTGGCTAGTTTGTATTGATAATTGATTTGATTAGTACCCATTGATATGTGTTAGTATTTGGTGTTAGAAAGACAAGTGGATTCAAACAAAATCAGTGTTATACTGAGAACCAGACAAAGGCAGCGATTCTGGGTGGTAACTGGCTGAAAACCAGACAAACTAGGCAGTAATTGGCCAAATTCAATTTCCACGTTCAGTATTTTGATGTTTTCTGTTTAGCCGATTTTTGATCCTTGATAGTTTCTTGCAAAGGTATCCTAGAAGGGATCATTTAACACAAGAGTGCTAATGCATCAACACAAACATGACAAGTAAGATAGATGCCCCATTGCCCTTATCTGTAGTCTGTCAGTAAATGCCAGCCTTGATGTTTATAAACTAGTGTGGATATCATGTTGATAAATGTCATGACCTGAGGCCATGACAGGATAAGATGCCCCATTGCCCTTATCTGTAGTCTGTCAGTAAATGCCAGCCTTGATGTTTATAAACTAGTGTGGATATCATGTTGATAAATGTCATGACCTGAGGCCATGACAGGATAATCACTGCGATGAGGGGATGAGGACTTAGGTTAGAAAGAAGAACATTGCTTACCGGAACAGTTATGTAGCTGGTGAGACTTACCCTTAATTAACTAACCCAATCTAATATTATCTACTCCTAACCTGCTGCTACAGTACCCATTGAACTATCCACTTGCCAGAAGCTGGCCCCACGGGCCTCTAGCCCAATGTCCATGACAATAATTCTGTCATTTTTTATTCTGAAACTTAAGAGTAATAGGGAATTTTTTATTCTAGAGCCACTACGCGTCGGGCGTGCGATTTTTACCCAAAAAAATCGGACACCCCATGCCTCTGGCTGGTTGGCTCCCAGCAAAGGTTGCATGTATCATGCCAATTAATTAAAGCGTATCATAGAACATACATGCTGCATTAATACATGTTGTAGCAGCCAAACCCTTTACCTCCATCTAAAACTGAGTAGCCAAACCCTTTACCTCCATCTAAAATTGATTTATTTAGTGGATCTTTAAATCACCTTTTCTTTTACATTACTTATCTGATTCATAATCTATTTGCACCGTTATATTTGTTATAATTAAATATTTATAATGAGATCTCACATGATTATATTTTTATGACAAAAAATATATTATAATATTTCTAATTGAAACATTTTTTATATCACGCATGAAACATTGATTTGTAATTTTTGAAACATCCCAAACTACTTACTGGAACACCCAAAAACACCACACTGAAGTGCAACATTTGCAAATGAACTAGTGAAATACTAGAAAATACTTATTGAAACACCCAAATAGCATCGTACGCAACATAAAGAACAACTCTTTCCAACACAAAAAACTTAAAATGTGGAACAAATTTAAATTCCAATTGAAACGTTGGCATCTGACACGTGAAACATAAAAAAACAATGGTCTAAACCTTCTTTTTTAATTGTAATATAATCATATGACATCTTGTTGTAAAGATTTAATTGCACCAAATATAGCAGTGATCGGATCGTTGATCGAATAAATAATTTTAGAGAAAATATTTAGAACATGCTAATAGATTTAATGCATGCACGCATTTTGTTAGCAAAACAACATGCATTTTGTTAGCCCGCATGCGTTTATGCATGCATGCATGGAACTGGGATAGAGCAAGAGAAGAGAGAAAAAGGTAATTGCTCATCTTGAGAAAAAATCTTGTGGTCAACACAACCCTGGTCCACCATTTGGAGCGACCGATATTTCCCTGGCCCGTCGAGTGCCCGGGGGAAAGCATTCTCCTCTTTATTCTGGTGTATGTTCAGTTGCATTTTGTTTTGTTTGAAACATACTTGTCCTTGACATGTAATTCATCATCTTTTACAGATCTACATCATAAAAGCTGTTGATGAGGATGCAAATGAGTCTGAGCCTGCTGATGAGGAAGCTATTGGGGACAAGGACACCAGTACAGAGGATGCAGCTGAGCAGGATGACTCACCTAATGCTGAACCTTTAAAAGGAACTAAGAGGAGAAAACTCCGTGGACGCCGGTAGTAATTAGTTCTATCAGACTTTAAATATTGGTACTCTGTACAAGTATGCTGCGTATTATCAATTTGCTCTCCTGTCAGGTCATCCTTATTGATCTTTTTTGTTGGCCTTTCCATTTGGTAGATTATGGGTGTTCCACAAGACCATAACCACCCTTTTTGTTGCAGCTACGGACAGAGTGTTCACCATCATAGGTAGGTTTAGATAACTTGTAAAGAAATGTTGACAATTGAACACTTGTGTCCTGGAGTCCATCTGTATTGTGCTGATTCACTGTGTTCAGCTTACATGATGGATGAGAACAGCATTGGCTTATGTGGCAATGCTTTTTACCTGTGTCCATGGCTTCTTAAAACTGATCTACAGACCAGAAAGGGAAGACATCGACGAACATTTACATTTTTCTTGCATTATCAATTGTTACTATCATGTATTGCATTTTCCAGCAAGGCTGGCTGGTTCATTGACAAATGAAAGTGTGAAGTCCATAATATTACAGAGTATTGCTGCATGTTTAGAACTACCATAACATTACCGAGGACTCACCATCCCAGAAAGCACGCCGCTACTACTTGCATCAACACTAGTAAAAGTTTGAGATGAGGCCAAGTAATTCCCATTTGTTGAATTTGATGTAGATTTACTCATAGGGTCCTTGCTCATAGCACGTCCTGAGTATGTCTGTGGAGTTTCCAGCTGGATAAGATCACCCTCTGGCATTATCTTCAAGATGAGCTCAAGTTCTCTAACAATCTCTGTCATGGATGGCCGAGCGTCAGTCTCATCCCGAGAGCACTTCATTGCAAGTTGGAGGAAGCTATCCACACACTCTGGAGAACACAAGCCCATCCGGGTATCCATGATTTCAGATATATTGCCTGATCGGTAAGCTTTTTTTACCTGCAGAAAAAGCAAAAATGTAGTTCTTTCATTAAACTACTAAACTGTTGTCATTTAATTTCGACTTGTATACGCTGAACAATTTGTTTTTTTTTTCCAAGGAAGCAAACAACCAGGTTAAGAACAACTGATGTTCTCCTCATAAAGTTTAACTGATTACAAAACCATTTTTCCTCAATAAAAAAGAAAAGACTTCGGTTTTGTATATGTTTTCAGTTGGTTTACAACAGTTAACTGAACGTATTACTCAAAGTTGAAGAGCGTGTACCTCTCTCACTATGTTTTTACCATGCTCAATAGGCTTCATCCCGGTCAACAATTCAAGAAAAACAACCCCAAGGCTGTACACATCACTTTTATCCGTCAATTTATGAGTTAGGAAGTATTCTGGATCAAGATACCCCTGCCAAAGTAACAAGGATATAGTTAGTATAGTATAGCTGTAAAAGAGAAAGAACAACCGTGTGCAACTAGTACTTACAGGGGTGCCCTTAACAACGGTGGAGACATGAGCTGGTAAAGCCCCTTCAACATCTGGTACTGGAGCAAGCCTCGAAAGACCGAAGTCAGCTACCTTGGCGACATATTTAGAATCCAACAAAATATTGCTGGCCTTAACATCACGGTGAAATATAGGAGGATCTGCATCGGTGTGGAGATACAGAATTCCCTTTGAAGCACCCAATGCAATGTGCAGCCTCAAACCAAAACCGAGAGGTGGTTTGGACTTTCCTGCGATTGAAAAATAAAACGAGGAGATTGAAGTAGAACAAGGATATTGGCAACAGAACAAAGTATTACACAATTCACTATAAGCAGGTTCAAGAAGGCACATCAACTATAAGATTCAGTAAACTGACAACTGAATGGCTGATCTTGATATCAAAGCCATAGGAGTCAGTTCAGGATTGCAGTAGATCAGTGGGATAAAAGAACTAGCCATGTGCTTACCAGAAAGATGATCACGTAAAGTGCCATTCGGCATGAATTCATAAACTAGCATCTGTAAAAAAAACACAATTTTTATCTTATCAGGATGATTTTGCCAGAATATTATTTCCACACAAATAAATAAAATCAAAGAGATGCACCTGTTCATTTTCTTCATCACAGTAACCAACCAACGCAACCAGATTGCGATGATGCAATCTAGACAACAGCTCTATTTCTGTGCAAAACTCTGTTGAACCTTGAAGAGAATCCTCGTGTGCCCTTTTGATTGCAACAATTGTTCCATCAGCTAGAATTCCTTTATAGACTATTCCATAACCTCCTTGACCAACTTGAGCTGACATATCAAAATTATTTGTAGCAGAAGCCATTTCTTCATATGTGAAGCATCTGACCCCATCAATTTTGACAGAAAATCTCGACACTGCAAATGGTAATATGACATATATTTTCATGTTTTTTCTCTTGAAAAATCAAGACAAAAATTGCCTTGCACAATCAGATATTCAATTAGCATGGAGCAAAAGAACAATTATGAAGATAACAGGAGTGCCACAAAGTACATACATCCATGACCGCTTGGAATGCAATGTAATGATAGCTTACTTCTTACAATGACTTACATGAACGTCTTGAAATTCTATTAGTTCTTGAATTCCTTCTCATTATAAGAGCAGTAACTACTGCAGAAAGTGCAATAGCACTAGCTATTGTGCTTGCCAAGATACCACCCAGTGCAGCTTTGCTTAAACCTGATGAAGCTAGATTTGGATATTCTACAGAAAAAAAAACGAAAAACAGATATACTATATTAGTAATCAGAAGAGAGCAACCGGAAAAGGCAGAGAACCGCAGTTGAACCACAGGTTAAAAAAAATAAAAACTTTGGTTGTTATTCAATATATGTGTTAAAAATATAAATACGATGATTACTTATTTACCTTGTACAATAATCTTAATGAACATTCATACACTAACATTTTGGTAATGAACATTAAATAGTACAGACTTGTATTCCATTAGTAATTAGTCACTGTGTACAGCTGAGATACGATCAATCTTTGTTTAAATGATCCATCAAAAAAAATTTCAGAAAAAAATGTGCAAAACAAATTCCAATTTATCCTTAATAAGTTAAAACGAGGAGTTTCATCGCAAAACTAGTTTTATACACTTTAGCTTCAAGTGTATATACCATCTTCATAGGAACCAAGTGTGAAATTGAGAAGCTCATATGGACCAAATACATCTAAAAGTGTAATTTCCCATCCAGCAAGTACGTGTCTGAGTCGGACAACCTCAGACATGTTGAACAAACTTGTATTGCTTGGAAATAACTTTAGGTGCATATTTAGCCTTGGACCAACTTCCCATATGTAGTTCTCAATATATAGCTGGTAAGGAAACAACTGCAACAAAGAAGTTAGGTCAATCTTGAAAGCATTTTCGTATGGATGAAAGTCTGTGACTCCTGGACTCTTCAACCGAAGTCCAACTCCAAGTGGCACCGCACAAAAACATTGGTCCGAGAATGAAGGATTGTACTCATAATTTTTTTCTGTCGGGCAAGCTCCACAAACCATGGCAGTGCTTGTTTCCTGTTTAGATTTTTCCAGGTTTATTGACTGGAGGCGGCAAAGGTTGATTATCAGAGTTTCACTAGAATTCTCACATATAGGATTTCCATATAACCTGCACAAATAACATTGGTTGTGACAACTATAAGAACTGAGTATTTTATGTAAGCAATATTCAGTTATAGTCCAGATTTTCACTCATAATACGATGATGAATAAACTGTTTTTGGTTATGATGTCCATTCTCAAATAAGAATAGTGTAGCCTGAAAACTGTTATATAAGCAGTATAAGCTTGCTTTAAATAAATGAAATGGTGTTAATCATCAAAATGGAAATTAACTGCGAAACTTGCGTGCTCACAGTTAAATATCCATCCGCAACACAGAATTTTTATGCAGGAATGTAGATTGATAGTGTATTGCATATATGTAGGAACGTACACGACAGTAACATTTGGTGGAGGAGGACTAATTTCAGCTGGAAGCATATTGAGAGAATTATTTTGGAAGTCCCTGCACAATTGACAACCATGTCAAATATATGTTATTGTCAGAACTTAGAACAAGATGAAAAAATATATATATATATTCCCAAAAAGAATCATACAGTACAAGGCTTCCGTTTCTGTTAGGGTTGACGCCAGCCCAAATTTCCGAGGGAACAGAACCATCTAAAAGATTATTTTTAAGTGACCTGCAAATTTGCAACATTGACATGTTTTTAAATGCATTGTTTTTAAAAAAAAGTTCATAGAGGGTTTAATTTGTGTTATGTCAAAACGAGTGGAAATTGTAAGCAATAATGAGTGGATCACAATATGCACCAGCAAGAACTGATATAACCTCAAGTTTGTATGTAATAAATAAGAAATAATGTAAAATGCATGAGAAGAACAGAAGAAATTTTTAAAATCAAATTCCCCCAAACCACCAGGTTGATCACATGCGAGCACCTCTTTAAATTTGCTATCCTCTTTGGTGATCTGCCTGCTCGTTGCTCAGTCCCCCCCCCCCCCCCTCATCTAAGTAAAACTGACAGAGCTGCTGCCTTTCCATTAAAGAAAAAACTAAAATACATTCTTTTCTATTTGAGAGAGAGAACACACAGGTCTGTGATTTTTATTTGGAATAAGAAGAAGTAGGTGCAAAAAAAAAATTCTGATCGAACACAAAGCTATCTGGAGCAAGATTTAACAAAGCTAAATGTTACAACTTACAATAGCTGAAGATAAGGAAGCCCTGAAAAGTTCGATGGAATAGTTCCATTAAGCATGTTATGTGACAAATCACTGCCAGAAAATTAGAAATCAGCTCAATGATTAAAGAACAGAAATAAAAATTATAAAAGCTGCATACATTGTAGTGATATTTGAAGCAAGCTTATTAGTTGGGATAGATCCTGTCAGCTGGTTCCAGCTAAGATCCCTGAAAATGCATGTGAGGATTAGTTTAGACATCTATAGATTTATCTCATGAGCTCATGTTCTAGAGAAATGGTTGCACATTGTTAAGAAATCTTTCTTTTTGGAAGAAAACTATAACTCTAAATTTCTTCAACAAAACTAATTGGTTGTGCCTAACAACAGAGGCTAGAGATGTAAGCCATTCCCGTTATCTTTAAGAAAATTATTCTAAACTTCTTTTTTGAAGGAAATTACCAATTTAACCACAGAGCAACTGTCAGAAATAGGGAGCATTAAGTGCCATATTTGAAGTAGCAATCAGTGATAAATTGATAATGATGTTAAGATATATTGATTGCAAAATTAAGATGGTAGTACTTTCGGCATGATTTTTACTGTACTCACAAATAGTCCAGTTGAGGTATGGCACTCAGATCAGGAATAGCACCCTGCAAACTGCAGTTTCGAAGACTCCTGATGTGACAAGAAATATTATCCTCAGCATAACAACACAGTATTTAGACATATATAGTAGAGAGAGAACATATAGTGCTCACAGTTTAAATAGTCCGGACATGTTGTAATACAGAGTAGGGATGGAACTCCCGCTGAAGTTATTATTGTCAGCCTGACTAGAAACAGAAAAAAAATACGAATATAAGAAACAGGTGTATGCTATCATAGCAAGCTATTTTCAATTGAGTTTGACAATTGACAATGGATACATACAGTATTTTCAAGCTTTTTGCCGCAGCTAGTTCTGGAGGAAGAGGCCCAGACAAATTGTTGTTATCAACAAGGCTGCAAAGTTTTAGTTAGAGTATATAATAAGATTAATTCCATGTTACCTGATACAACATGCATTAGAAAAAAATGCAACCAATAGGCTTCCACTTACAGGTGCAAAAGTGTATTCAGTCTGGACAATTCGGACGGGATTTGCCCACTTAATGAATTATTATTCATGTGACTGAAATGAAAGGGGAAATTGAGTCTAGCACTGAATTCAGATTGAAGAACAAAGCAGGAACAAAATGGAAATGAACAATCCTTACAGATGCTTCACACTTCTTAAGTTGGCAAATGATTTAGGTATTGCGCCGGATAGATGGTTTTGGTCAACCTGTAACCTTGTTAAGCTTTGAAGGTTGCCAATCTCATCTGGTAAAAGACCAGAGAGCTGATTTCCATTTAATAATCTACATAAAGCATGAAAAAAAGAGTAAAGTATTGGTAGATATAAGAAAAATAGCAAATAATTTAATTAAGGAGTTCCGTTGTTTTCTGTGCATATTGAAGAGGGGTGTAGAATTAATTGAAAGAGAATACATACATAAGTTTGAGCGTAGTGATATTGCCTATCTCTTTTGGGATGTTGCCTGTTAAATTGTTCCACATAAAATCCCTTCAAGAGAAACAGCAATAAGTTAATATATGGTATAAGAGATTGATGCAAAAAAATCAACTATATGCTGATCAATTAGTATTTTCTTTAGTAATTTTTCAGCAAGTAAAAGATGAAGGCTAATCTTTTATCCAGGAAGACACCATTAATTTATTTTATGGAAAATATAGTGATATGAAGATAGTACTAAGGATTAATATTTAATGAATGCAGAACTTACAAAAAATAAAATCTTCAGTCATTAGAGTATACTTACAATATTTTCAGCTGAGATAAAAGACTGACCTCTGGTACCAAATTTCCAGAGAGGTTCCTCCTAAACAGTTGCCTACATGGAGCAAAATAATATAATCAGCAACAGATTGAAATTTACTGGAACTGTATGCCCTTATCGAATATTTCAAGCAAAGAAAAGCTTCAAAAGGCTGCTCCAACAATGCTTAGAATTTTTTTTTTAAAAAAGGGGCCTCGTACAGACAGGACTGAGGTTCCCTGCGGTAACATGGTGGGACATATTATTACTATCAAACGAGATGCATAGTTACCAGTAAATGTAGCATCATGCCACATTGCCACCATTCAATAATAAAGACTAAATATAACACTTCAATTCAGTATGCTTCAAATGTTTAGTATGGCAATAAGACACTTGTAAGACATCAACTATTTATTTCTTTAATAGATTATACAATTAATCATGCATCAGAAATTTGTAATTCCTAATCAGCTATGGAAAACATAGTCATCAGCATTTAACTATAGAACCGTTTTCTATGACCACTAGCATTCATAGTTCCTATTATGACAACCAAACTGAAAGTGAGGATATGGCAAATAAATTATGTAGAAGTATTGGTCATACAGTTCTGTTACATGAAGATATGTATCACCCAAATCATGGCAGAAGACCCCTGTCCAATTTTTTGTGCATGGATCTCCCCTATTCCAATTCTTGAGGTTGTTCATAGGATCAACTAAGCTTCCCTTGATAGCCATAAGTGCACTGACTGCATATAGGGAGAAAAACAACATATATTTTGCAGCAAATATTTTAGAACTTTTAACTAAAGAAACTCAATGTAAAATACTGTTGGCATTAAACATCTCATAGTCTGTTGATAGAAAGTGGTTATCGAGCACAAGAGATAACAAACTATTTTTTACAAATCCTATGAGAGAATTATTTCATTTACAACGTTAGCATACATTTTTGCAACTCTTTATTTCATTTTTCAAATAAGAGCTGTGTATAATATCATTCTCTGTTAGACAAACATACTAACTGGTAGGGTATGATTTACAAATACCTACCTAGTAGGAAAACTGTATAGCCACAAATACTATGTTCGGCTCATTGTCGTCAAAAAATACCTACTTCAGTTACTAGAAATGGACTCTGGCATCACAGCAGGCATAAAATAGAATTCTTGCATGTTTTCATTAGACCAGAGTTCCGGTATGTTTGTAATCCATGAAGTACAATTTCTGGTTTGTTGTTTTTCAAGGGCATAAACAAATTACTCCCACTGTCTTACAGAATCAATAGTGGGAGAACACTGAAGCACCCATCTAGAAATGAACGGAGTATTGTGCAAATAAGAAACTAAAAGTTGATGTAATTACAGAGATATCATAAGAGAATATTGGTTCAAAAGCCAGTTTAAAATGGTCCAATCAACTAATCAAGCATGTCTTGCCCCAAGGCCTAGTCCAAACCTAAGCCTACCCCATGTGTCAACATATAATGAGGAATTTGTGATCAGGAGAACGTGTTAGTTCAAAACCAGCTTAATATGACCCAGCCCAGGTTTGGCTCAGCATGAAGAATATGCTTGCAAAGAATGATTTGGCTCATAGTGAAGAATACGCTTGCAAAGATTACCTTCTGAAGGATCAGTAGATTTTCCATCTGCAGCCTCTAAGAAGGGGAGCAACACCACAAGGGTAACTGCACAGAGTACTCCTCCGAAATTGATCATGTCTTCAAGATAATCAGCAGCAACTAGTCATATCCACGACAGCAAAATTCCAAAATTTCAGGATCCTAACTAGGAAAAAAGAAGAGTTTATGAATACCACCATTGTTTATGATGTTAGATATCATTTATTCCTCTTTTTGAAGCACGAGGTTTTGGGTGTTTGCATATGCATGCCCAGTTTGGTACATGGGGTTCAGAAAATTCCCCAATATCAAGAAAACAAATCACTCCGGTTCTCTATACTCCGTTGCTTAATGAAAGTTGGATCAATGAAAACTGAAACAGATGGCCAAATTTGACGGTAACAGTATGCAAGTGACATGAAAGTTCTTCAGAAAAGAAGATCACCCCATTTGTATCGTTTACTTGTACCTACTTCTTCTGCCTCTAACAACCTGCCTAGCTAGTCGCTTTTGTGCTCAAGCAATGGCTCTGTGCGATCAAAATCAATCAAACTAGAGACAAATAACACATCTGCCACTCAGCAACATCAGGCCAACGAAACCTGACAGTAACACCATCCTAATTCGCAACCACGACGTCCCAACTAAACTCCGCAGATGCATGCAGCGGCAGCTACTAGCTAGTAGTAGTACTCCTACTTTTGTACTAGTACCAACTCAACAAGTGCAAAAAAATCGCGAGAAATGCCGAAAATCCCATCAAATCAGGATGAAAACTCGAGATGGGACCTGTCGACTACTACTCCTATATAAAAGAGGAAGGAACGCCAAAACCCCAGCAAATTCCTGTGGTAAAATGTGGCTGAGAATAATCCAACCGAACCACCGAAAAATTCACAAAAAAAAAAAACTCACACACAGGCAAACGCGCCCCCATGATTCAAGCGGGGAGAATATACCTTGTTGCGAAGAAGAACACTACCCCAAATTAAACTCCGGAAGCTCACTCGAACTGGGGCGGGGAATCAAGCCAACCCAGGATTCCTCCTCCTTCCTCCGATCCGCCTCGATCCTATCCTATATCCACTCCGCGCTCCGCGAGGTGGATCGCCTGAGCTGCGTCATAGTAGCCGCCGCGAGCGCGAGCGCGAGCGGAAGAGGAGAAGGAGATTGTAGAGGCGAGGAATTAGTGCGGAGGAGTGAGGGAGTGGGTTGGCGGTTGGCGCCGTGGAAGTGGGAGTCCCCAGCCGTCGGGACGCGCGCTTTTATATCGGCGCGGCGGTGTGAAAGGGAAGCCGGCTGCGTTCGACTCCGACAGGACTACCTCTGTGCAGAAAAAATCAACTGGAAATAATGGGACAAACCAGAATAATTGGGGTTCTTCTTTTCTTCTAAAGATAAAGATTAATTTTTTTTACGTATTAACGTATAATTGATTGACTTTTAATTATTACAAACTTAAAAAATAGATTAATATAATATTTTAGAGAAACTTTCATATAGAAAGTTTTCACACGAAATACACCTTTTAGCAGTTTGAAAAGCGTGCCATGAAAATTAATTTTCATTCAACTCTGGTTGGAGAAAAGAACGAGACCATAATGTTAAAATAATGTCTCATCTTAGATTGTTTTTTCCTATAATGGACAGAGTAATATGGCCGAGTAGAAATGTACTAGAATTATAAGAAGCATGTTTGTCCAAATACTAAAATAGTATATTTTGTATAAAATGATTTTGTATATATTTACCATTAAACATACTATCGTAATATACAACTCTTTTTTATATAAGACATAGATATTGTTAGTCAAAGTAATATCTCGAAGACTGTGTCGAAATCTAAAAAGTACTTATATATTTATATTGAAATGGAGGGAGTAGAAGTTTCTTTGAAATATTAAATAAATTTATTTTCAAACTTTTAATAATTAAAACTCAATTAATCATGTGTTAATAGTTTTTTTCATTTTGGCTGCAGGTTTAATGCCAAACGACGATGTCAAATGCAGGCTTACGTCACGTTCTTTTCTCTACATATTTTATCTTGATTTTCGTTAGCACGTTTTTCAAACTACTAGACGGTACGAAATGTTTCGTACGGAAACTTTTTATAGTTGCTTTAAAATATCAAATATATCCATTTGTGAAGTTTGTAATAATTTAAATTTAATTAATCATATGCTAATAGTTTTTTCGTTTTATGTGCGTCAACTTAATCTTTATCTTCATTGGTTTCAAATACCACCTTCTTAATGTGTTGTTTGGTTGGATACCTCCCTTTCCAATGCTATATGGTAGCCATGACATGGTTTCTTAGTTGAGTGTTTGGTTCACTCTTACAACTGTAGCACGATAATACATGTATATCGTCCTAATATACTTAAAACTCATATGCATAAGTCGATTTTCTTTTTACTAGAATGTGCACAAAGTGATGTCTGCATGCATTATGCTCACTTCGAAATCAGCGTGGCATTTAGTAGCATGAACTAGTTTGTCCGTCTGAAATATTTTCCCTGGTTCATTTGGACTAAGCAAGTTCTTCCACTGAAATAAGCACAGTATTTTATTGTACTTATTTATAGACACTATGCAAATTCATGTATCATACATATAATTTTGTCTTTAAACCTTTTCAGTAAAATAAATCCCTCCAAAATACTACACTGTTTTTTCCTTATAAAACTTTTAACAAAGTTTTAAAAACAAAGCCCTCCAAATTTCTTTTTTTTTTACAAATATCTATCGTGTAGGCAACAAAACATTATTGGTATTGCCAGGTTAACACCTAAAATAGAGAACATATTTATAAAAAGGTATTGAAATTTTTAAATATATATTGCATGCCATCCTTTTCCCAAATTCTTCGTATATTCGAAATTGAACAATGGTCACACTCGATATCAGACAGATGCAATGTCATCCTCGATTCGATTGGTTTGTTGTTCATATTTGCCCTTGTACATATTCACTTTTTAATAAGAAGATTCGGCGTATGTAAATTATTTTTTTCTGAAAAAAATAGCATAATTCATGTTCGAGACGCGCTTCCTTCTGATTGACCAACCACGTCCACGGCGGACAGGTCCGTCCCCAAGAATTTAACAGTAACTGTCCCTTTGATCTCAACATCACAGACATATCACATCACACTAATCCATGTGGAATTGTGGCTAGCATCAGATGCTCTTCTAATTGCAAGGACTAAGATGGCCTTTTTATTTTCTCTATTCTGTTCTTCAAATTTTCATTTGCATGTTTTCTCATTAAGCTTCTAGACAACGTGTTTTGTAAAAAAAAATAAAATCTTAAAATACCTTTCTAAAACAACATTTTCACTTCAGAGTAGTTATTTTATTTACTTATATCGTCAAATAGCTATTAGAAATCAAATTATCTATCAATCAGTTAATTTCAGCTATATACTCCCTCTAAGGAACATAAATCCTTAAATCCTAACTTTTCAATTAGAGTTAAGTAGGAAAAGAAATGACCAAAATAGTTCAGTCTAATAGCAAAATTATATTAGTGAAAGGCTATATGAGAGATATTGGAAGAACAAAATTTATCGATTTATAGACTCATGATAGATAGGAAGGTAGAAATTAGTTTATTTTAGAATGGACAGCTATACTTGACCTGATAACCTAAGAGTCTAAGACCTCGAAAAACTTTCCTCGGATCCACGGGTCTGCAACCTGTTCGTCCTCTGGGCCTTCGTCCCGCACTCTAATGTAGTGTTTACTAAATCGTTTAGAATCGGGTTACCGCTATTCCACGATACCGACCGTGGTTTAAAAAATGAAAAGGTTTCGTAAACCCTGCTTCAGCGTACTGTCGCCGCCGCTGCCTCGTAATTGCGTCATGGGCTCATATGGCCCCACTTGATCGATCGATGAGCACTTGCCCGGCCGGCGGCCATGGAGTGGGGAGAAGATCTTTTCCATGAAGAAAAATTCATGCTCTGTCCGGGAACTTTTGCATCGTCTGATGGCGACCTGGCACTCAATTTGCTGGACTTTTTTTTAACTGAGATGTGACGGTGATGCATGCTGTGTGCAAGGAAGTCAAGATGACAACTTTATTAGTGGAGGATAAGAGAGTAATTAATTAGTAATATAACGAAGTACGTATTCTTACAAGCTGATTATTGCCACTGGTGTGGTGTCCCCACATGTCAGTATGTGTGTAATATATACTTTTGCCCGTGAGCTTTAATTTGGTCAGATTTAAAAATGAGAGATTAATTGATAGGCAGCTGATGCAGCTATCAATGATCTCCATTTTGATAGTGGCGCGTGCATGACGGTGAGTGAATCTAGACATGTACCTTGCGATGACCAACGCACTGAAAGAGCGAGGTGAAGAAAAAGTTTACTCCCCTTCACCATCAATTTTTAGCTACGGGTGTCAAAAAAAAAATTAGCTACGAACCTAAATATTTAAATAAAGTACATGAGAGGTCGATAGCAAGGCAATACAACCGGGAGAGAGAATTTAACGAAAAATTTATAAGATTTACACAAGTAATATGAATTTTTATGATAATCTTGGGAGAACATACTTTAATGTACCATGTAAAATTAATCTATCTATTATATTAATAAAGTAATAGAAAAATGAGTTTCCACGTTCGCTTTCACGGCCTAGAAATTCTCGCATTAATCCAAAAAGTAAGAAAAAAAGGAAAAAATAATAGAAAAAGGAGACTCCACGTTCGCTTTTACAGTCTAGAAATTCTCACATTAATCAAAAAATAAGAAAAAAGAAAAATAGAACTAGATTAGGATTAGTTAAAAACTAAAAAAGGGAAAGAAAAAAAGGCATATTAATACACTCGAAACGGGCAATATATTGAAATGAGATTAGGATCAGTCAAACGGACAAGGCAAACGGACAAGGATGCATGAAACTGTCAAATATGAATAAGAAACGGACTCTCTGGTCATAGTGTATTACCGTGGAAACGTACAAGAGTTTAGACTGCAAGTCAATATAATACAATTTTAAATACATGAAACTCAAAATAAAAACTAAAAATTAGAAGAGGAGTCAAGGTAGAAATACAATTTAGATTATTCTGAATTTTTGATTGGAAAAAATAAAAAAATACTAATATTGAGACAAGAGTTATATGGAATTTACTTAAAAAGAGTTCATTTAGAAATACAATTTAGGAGAAAAAAATGAATCTCGAAGTGAAATTAAAAATAGTTAAAATTGAGAGAAGAGCCCATGTAAAAATAAAATTTAGAAACATATAAGATTTGGATTAAAGATAAATATTATGGAGAAAGAGTTCAAGTAGGAGAACAATTTAGAAATATTTTAAATTCAGATTACAAACAAATAGTATGAATAGAAAAGTTCAAGTAGAAATACAATTTTGAATATCTTAAATTCAGGTTAAAAACAAATATTATTGAGAAAAGAGTTCGAGTACAATTAGGAAAAAAATATGGTCTATTTAAAAATAAATTTTAAAATATCTATAATTAGGGACAAATAAAGAAAATTAAAAATGTGATTCCATGCAAGAAATACGATTAACAAAATTCAGAATTTAGGATTAACAATTACAAAAAAATAATATTTTTGTTAGGAGTCCATGTAGAAATACAATTTAAAAACATCCAAAAGTTCAGATTGAATATAATAAAACTAACATAAAGAGTCCACATAGAAAAATTGGATTGAAGATAAATATTATAGCGAAAAGAGTTTTGGGAGGATTGCAGTTTAGAAATATTTTAAAATCGGATTAAAAATAAATAATATTGAGGGGAAGAATCCAGGTAGCTAGAAATAAAATTTACAAATATCTTAAATTCGGTTTGAAAATAAATATTAGTGAGAAAACATTTTATGTAGAAGTTGATTTAGAACTATTTTAAATGTGAATTAAAATAAATAATATTGATAGAAGAGTCCACTTTTACAATTGAAGGCTAGTCTTCTATTAGCTTTATATTAATACTATCAGCTAAAAATCAGCTAAAGAATCTCATGTAAATTAGCTAGAAAACTAGCTTATGAGATTGGATCTTAACCCTATACCAATGTGACAGGAGTTAGTCCAAACTGTCAGCAACATTAACAAAATAAAATATAAAAATACCCAGTAACATAGTAATATTGATAACAATAGAACGTTTTTAATTTAAGGTTATGAACTATTATGAATATACAATACAATATGCCATCTTCAGTAGGTGGAAGAATGTCATTCGAGGTAGTGGAAAGATGCAACTATAGATACAGATGTAGGGGAATAAGACAAATAAATATGCCATAGGATTTATGTATCTTTGATTTATTGTATTTTTATGAGAATACTAAAAATTCCATCGTGTTTGTTTTATGGACATGGGAATTACTATATTAATCATTTGTCATTTTAAATACTTTTTCACAATAGTTTGGTCAAGTTAGGTCAAAGCTCAAAATCATTTGTCATTTTAAATATTTTTTTCACAATAGAATGTGAAGTATATGTATTATAGAATGTGAATATTTTATAGAGATGCTAGTTTATTTCATAGAATCTGCGCGGACCACTTTGCTAGTTTATTTCAAAGTAAACGTTGAGACATGCTAGAATGCCACTTGGTATTGGTACATAGTATATACCTTCTTTGTCAAAACTCTTGCGAGTATGTACCATGTCTCGTACAACTCCCTTAATTCCAAAGTAAGTTCCGAAAGATGTGCATGGTGACACGCGGTGAAAAGCTTTTCTAACTATTGCATTGTATGTACAAGCAAGGACGAAATCGTCGTCAACCCCAAATGAATCAGGGCTTCCATAGGTGCGGCGCACAAGTTGCTAGCTACTTCCTTCGACCTTCATCTTAAAATTAAAATTATTTATATTTTCTAAAAAATAAATTAAAGTTATGACATAGATGCTTGTGAATGTTTGATGTGGGAAAATAGATGAAGAAATTAAATGGGCAAAATTATAATTGGTTCAGATTGAGGTCGACAAAGAGGTACTCCCTTCGTCCCAAAATATAAGTAGTTTTAGGGTTGAACACAAGTATTAAGAAAGTCGGTAGAATTAAATAGGTGAAAGTTGTTATTGGTTGAGAAGCGGAGCTAAGTGAGAAAATTGAATGGTGAAGGGCTGTGATTAATTGAGAAGAAAATATTGGTGAAGAAATTATTATATTTTGGGACAAATCTTAAGGGCTAGAAGTTGTTATATTTTAGAACGGATGGAGTAGCTAGTTTCATTTAAAAAATATCTTAAAAGTAGTTATATTTTAATACAGAGAGGACTTGCTCGTCCACTGCTTGAGAAATTTATGGAGGACGCACGCGTTGGTCGTAGCTATCACTCATCAGCAGCTGCAGTTGCTGAGCTTGCCGTTGACGCTAATACTATATATTGGAGCGAGCGATGGATCGATGGAGTATACAACAGCAGCATTCAATGGCGTGGCAGAAATATCTCCACGCCATGAGCCACGGCAGCCTCAAACGAAGAAAAATAGACCCAAATTACAACCCGATCGACGTGCACGTTTTACTGAATCGTTGACGCGAAGCTTCTATCCCGTGTTGGATATACATCGATGCTCATCGTCGTCGTCGTCGTCGTCGCAGTCGCTAGCCGTGTGTGTCGGCTGATGCCGATGCCACCGTTGCCGCGACCATTTCGCCACGCACGAATTCATCTTCAAAGACAAAAAAAAATAAACAAAAACAAAAACAAACAAACAAAAACAAAACTGCAACGGCGACGTGCTTTGTCCCACGGTCATGCACGCTGCCACGGACGATGTCGCGTTTACTGAAACAGAAGACGCGCGCAGCACACATCTTTTGCAGTGGAAATTCTACAGAAGAACGCAGCAGTGTGCGTTACAGTAGAAAAACCTTATAAAAGTTGTGGACATTATCTCTCCGCTGTGTATGTGTTCAATGTGCACCATGGCGCGACCGTTGCTGTAGGTGAATTTTTCAGGGATCTTTGCAGTTTTGCTAGTGACAATAAGAAGTGTTTTGTTTGGTTCAGTACAAGGTTGACTCGAAAATTCAGCTGAATTTGTATGGCTCGTGGTGCAGACAACAAGATATTGCAGATATCACCACCATTCAGTTAGAGTTGCTGTTACACAGCTGAGCTCGACTCAACTGGACAAAACTATGGTCCCTGGGCGGTGAGAACCAGGCATTACTGATGAACAGGAAGGTGTCAGGCCGCTGGCACTAAAATCTGGGGTACCAGAACATGCCCTTGATGCCTTGAGGGTCAGCTTCGAATCCCAAGTTCTTGTAGAAATCTACAACTGCAGTTAATAAGAACGAATTATCAGAAAGACGACCTTTTTAGTGCATTGAAGCAACATTGATAAGCTGCACATTCTGGATATCATGAACAGAACGACCATTTCCATTTCCCTGCTGCAAGTCGCAGCAATAACTCGCCACAGCAAGAAAATTATGTTACTCCCTCCGTCCCAAAATATAACAACTTTTATCTCTCAAGATTTGTCCCAAAATATAACAACTTCTCCACCAACATTCTCTTCCCAACCAATCACAATCCTCCACCATTCACTTTTCCCACCTACCTCCACTACTCAACCAATCACAACTCTCCATCATTCACTTCTACCTATTTTCTTAATAACCGTGTCCACCTCTAAATATGCTTATATTCTGGACGGAGGTAGTAATGAATATTCAACATTTTGGTTTAGAAAGGTGCTATCGAGATAAATGGCACAGTTGAGTTAATGACTTCAAGGAAAGTAAGCCACCAGTTCACCCACCAGTAAAATTTGAGGCAGCCAGGCAGGTGCACTTACCAAAGGCATATATCCATTCAATCACTCAGATTTGGATAATGATGTAATGGCCTTATAGGAATAGGTTGAAACGAAGACAACAGCCTTTTCAATAGCATAAAATTTCTACAAATTCATCTTTTATGGTTTTCAATTACGTTTTCATCCACAAGAGTAAATCATGTGGTACCTTTGGTAGCCAGTCTAGTTGTTGCAGTACTCAAAGGATCAAAATATTTGCTTGTTTTCTACTCACTACAAAGATGACTTAACAGCAAACCAAAGGTAAATTCGAGCTAGCAGTGCTACTTAGACATGGCTTTTGTGAAAAAAGGGAGGTGTGTGTGGTACTGTGGTGGTGGTTGTGGTTTTCTACCTTTGTTATCTGCAAACAGCGTAATATTGCTGATGTCTCTCTGGAGCAAAGTTCGGATTACTTTCTCCATTAACGCTTTACCAAGACCTTGACCCTGAAAATGTTAAAACAGGTATAAACCATTATAAGTAACCTTACATGCCAAAACAGTGAATTCAAGTTCATCAATTCACCTGATATGAAGGGTCAACGAGAACATCCCAAATGGTAGCATTAAAGGCATGGTCTGAAGTTGCTCGCGCCATACCAATTAGTTGCTTCCTCTCTTCTCCCTCTGTCAAATAACTTCTACAAGTACACTAAGATGTTCATCATCTAGAAAAATGAATTTCTGCAAATAATCTTCAGATTAGAAGATGTGGTTTGACTAACGCTTAGGATCATAAACGAGCCGCTAATAATGAAACAACGAGGTAAGCACCTGCTTTTGAAGGCATAGTAACTGAATGTAGTGTAGCAACCAGGTAACTGTTTCTTAAGGATGCTGCTATTTTGGTTAGGGGTCTGCGTGGCCATCCCACCTATGAGATGAACATCATAAACACAAACATCTGTTAAAGAAGAAACTACCGAGGAACAACATGAACTTGGAGAAAATTGTGATATATATTCCTTTATGAAAACAGGATGTGTTACTACAAGGTGACAAATATTTTAATAATATTTCATTTAGCTCTATTTGGTATTTTCGAGTGTACTCAGCTATAATAGCCAGTTTACACTGCATAAGTGGTCCCAGTTAGGCCATACAATAGTTACTAGGTGTGTTAGTGAACGAATAATGGTTACTTATTTAGAACCTTGACTGCAAGAACTATCAAATGATTTTGGAGAAAGATCACCTTGTCGCATAAAGCTTGGAGATCATACACATTAACATCTCCAGCTGAAGAAAATATGATCTGCTCTGTGCTGCCATCAGCAAGTGTCCTTTCTAGGAGTACTAGTTCCTCGGGCAAAGGTTCTTCCTCTTCAATTGGTGCTGATGGTGGCTCTACTGTCTCTGTACTGTTATTACTCTTCAAAAATCTGCAAAGCAAAAGCATTAGATTCTCTTTACCATACATGACAGATCTAAGGAGCATGATATAAGCATGTTGCTTCAAATGTACACAGCACATAGTTAGTCTACATACTCCCTTGTTAATTGAAGAAAAAGATATAGAAATTTTATCAATCTAGTTTCTCTACAAGACCTGAACTGTAAGGCTGAGTTCTTTTCGGCTGTTGGCTGTGGAGGCAAGCCATTAGCGCATGAATAATTGAGTATTAATTATTACAGACTTGAAAATGGGTTGATTTGATTTTTTTTAGGAACTTCTATATAAAAAGCTTTTGCAAAAAAAAGCACCGTTTAGCAGTTTGGGTCGGGAAGCGTGCTACCGGAAAATGGGGAAGTTGCAACTTCCAAACAAAAAAACGTAAGGGCCTAGTCTGTAAACACCCAGGATGTTCCGGTCCTACTACATCTTTATATTTTTTAGTTTTTCAGTTCCCCCTTTGTCGCAGGTAATGTGAGAAATTAGTAGCTTTCACTTCTCATAGAGGTAGGAATTTCTAACGAGACCATTTTCATATTAACACATACTACATGCTATAGTATGTAGATTTATGTGAAAATATAAACATAGGGTTTAAGCAAGGGACACAATGTATTTTACCCGGATCTAAGGGAGTCCCACAGACCAGCCTTCAAGGACCAAGTTGCCGCAGCCCGTTTTTTACCTGCAGCGTAAACACGATAAGAGTGTACGTACTAGTTCAGCAAATAACAGCTAAACTTCATGAACATGTCATGAACAAAAAAAAAATCAACCAAAGAGAAGTTAGGCAGATGACAAAACAACAAAGAGAAGGTCCACAAGTTTATTTTGCCGTGGAGCTTGGACAACTGTGCAGTCTATGATTATCTAGCTGGTAGCTAGTAGCCGGTAAACCATCAAACATGGCGTATTTCTATATGCAAACCTAAGAAATAATCTGAACCACCATTCTCACCAAGACCCATACGGATAAATGCCAGAGTAATTTAGCGAGTTGCAGTAGCACGAAATGCAGGATCTGCAGAATGGTGCTGCTTACCAAATGTTTGGAAAGATGGGACAAAGGAGCCAGAGCAAAGCTTTACTTGTTTACTGACGCTGTAATTCCTCGATTAAGCAGTACATCAGTTCGTTGCAAGTTATTTGCAGACTCTGGAACACTAATTCCTAATCCCATCCAACAAGACACTAGATTGGCATCTACCTACCCTGGCCGGCCATTGTTAGCCTAAACATTTGGATGTCTGTAATTCCTATTCGCACCAAACGACTACTATACTGTGATTATCCGCTGCAACGCGGAAGGGAGCACCGCACCGCACCGCACCGTACCTTGCGCGTGGTCGTGGAGAAGCCGGCGCGGCGCGGGGGCTTTACCCCGGGCCCCCAAACCGCACGACGCCGTGGGGACGCATCTGAAAGAGGACGGTGTGACGACGGCGGAGGCGGAGGCGGAGGCGGCGGGCGCCATCCTTGCCGGATAGTGCGGCCCGGTGATTCGTCGCCGCGCGCCGCCGGAGTGGGCGCAGCCGAGGCGGTCGCCGCCGGGAGGAGGAGGAGGTGGTGGTGGTGGTGGTGGTGGAGCTCGCTGCCGTCGTCTCGTCGCAGATAAGGTCGGGGAAGGTGGGTGGTGGACTGATGGAGTGGTCAGTGGTAGCCGATTCCTCCTCGCCGAGACCGAGAAGAAGCCGAGGCCCAGGCGGTCGGCCCATCACCACAGGAGTTTGGCATGATTGGGCCGCTCGGTTATGGGCCTCTAATTTAATCTAAACTCTTATTTCCCTGTAAAAATTGAGAAGATAAACAAAACAAGATGAGCTATAAATGTATTATTAAGTTATGAGTATTAATTATCTCGAATTTAAAGGAAATAATTAATATGATTTTTTAAAACAACTTTTTTATAGAACTTTTTTTAAAATAACGTATCGCTTAATAGTTTAGGAAGTGTGCATGCGCAGCAGGAGTAAGTTTTCCTATCTATCCGTTGCTACCGAACGCGGCCTAGTTCAATTGTTGGGACTAGCTATATCGAGCTACATTTTTTCGTTAAGAAAACAGATACTCATTTTTCAATACACTTTTACATTGCAAATTTCATACTTTATAGTACTATAAACTTCATATATTTACAGTGTAATTTTTAAATATTACACTGTAGTTTTTTTCCTTACTACTCACTATATACAAAGGAAAAGGATAGTTAGCAATCACATGGTGGAAAAAGGTTATTGAAATCAACTAATCAAGCCAAAAATGTGGTGCCAAGTTTTTTAGCAAAACCATAGTTTTTTAGGAAGAAGAAGAGAGAGGGTGAGAGGGAGATTAGAGCAAAGCTTTATGCCTTTATCTACAGGCTACATACACTGACATATCTACTTAGCAATCCCTGTAGCTATGGTGCCATGCCAGAATCCAGATTGCAAATAGGATCCGGATCAACAGAGAGATACAGAAAGGAAAAGCATCCAACCTCTCAACAGCAAAATCTGGGGATTATATTGCTGTCTGCTGATGGCTCTTTGCATCCACTTATGCACCACAGGATTCACAAAGAGCTTCAGACGACTGCATCTTGTGCAGACAAGAGGCAGAAGAAAAAAGATCAGAGACAGTCAAGTGCACTATAAACAAAGGACAAACAGCTAGCCTGGATCTGTAACTGCACAGCACAGAAAGAACTAAGATCTAAGCTGCCCAATGAACTGCAGCCTTGCAGCGCAAACAACAGAACAGTGCTTGCGCCGGAATCATCTCATGGCAACCAGGAGCGCCGCAGCCATGCCACCCAGGGACATGGCCCAAACGATCAACCGCAGCAGCTACTGTCCTCCTGAGCGGGTAAAGTACAGTTTCATCATCAGCTTGCACTTGCAGGACCTAGTTAAGAAACCAAGCAGCAACAATCAATCGGCCAAGTGAACTAGGACAATAGTAGGAAGGCAACTCAAATTTATTCTGTAATGTTTCTGAAGAATTGGAGACCGGGAATGAATCCGAGATACCTGAACACCGGCAAGGACATTTTCAGAGACTAGCTCAGACGGCGCAACCGCTGCCCAGCCGTCGACGTAAACCACCTCTATCAGTACCAGCCATACACCAATATCCTCAACATCTGGATGGTGTAGCTCCATGTGATAAGTGCAGCAGTCTGAAGAGAATGACGACGTGCATAGGACGCAGAAATTATCATGGAGTAGAGCCTGGGTACTGTAATCTCCTGTTGCAAGTGCCTCGACCATGTCCCTCCCTTGGTCCTCTTCTTGGACTTGGTTAAGCTGGAAATTTCGGATCACCATTGTTAATGAATTCAGTTTGGCATGAGCAGTTAACAACGAAGCACAGAGGTTTCCACTATTAATTTGTGCACGAGCAAATACCCAAATACTAATATACAAGATAAATTAACAGCATTAGTAAGTAGCAACAAATTTACATAGCATATGTAGCAGGATATATTCTATTTTCAGTTATCTGAAACGAAAATGGAGCCTCTTTTATTGCTAGATGACCAAAATACAAACTTCTTTTTTTATCCTGGTTTTGCACATGCTTTTGTCCAAGAAACCTGTGCACGATCAAGGCAACAAGAACACATCCACAAATCAAGATGGCCAAGAAACCCTACACCAGAGGAAATTGTAGGCACGCGTGGTTCCAAGCACAACTCGAAGTATGGACAAGAACTTACCTTGCACATTGTACAGCAGTAGAGCGCGTTTGTTGGCTTCTTGATTCGTTGGTGGCAGTCCACGCAGCTCGAGAAATCCTTCTTCCGCCCGTACATTGGTGGCACCCATGGTCTCAACAGGATCCAGTTCGTCTGTTCGTCGCCTCTCAATCTTTGTATACCTTCCCAATCGTACTCGGTGCCCACTGGGTACCTGGCGAGCACAGCGGGGTTTTCAGCGAGCAACTCAACCTGCGAGCGAGAATAAGATGAGACACAAGAGGCTCGATCGAAGAAGAAGAAGAAGAAGAAGAAGAAGAAGAAGAAGAAGAAGAAGAAGAAGAAGAAGAAGAAGAAGAAGAAGAAGTCTTCTTTCGAACCGACCGTAGCGACACGGGGAAGGCCCTCTTCCGGGTGGTGATGATCCCAATGTTCTTTGCAGCAGTGGTCGCAGAAGGAGAGCCAGCAGTAGAAGCAGAACCTGTTTCGCCTGCATGTCATTCTCCAATCCTCCTGGACCAACCTCTGGAGGTAGAGGGGCTGCTCCATTGGAGGCTGCCTTGGAGCCTGCAGCTTATCCCCTCCCGCTTGCTAGCTCCTCTGCTTCTTGGCGTCCGCTACCCCTGTTCTTGCGTTCTTGCGGCTGCTCGCTGCTCCGCTACCGATCGATTCTTCCCCCTTTCTCTTCTTCTCCTGCTTGCGATCGATTCTTCTTCGCCCTGCTCTCTGATCGCGAAGGCTTCTTGCGATCGCTTATCTACACCTGTTGATTGATTCTCTCGGATGTTCTTGATGCCGTCGCAATGTTGCTCTGCTCTCTGATGTCTCTTTCTTTCTTGGGTCTTCTTGTTCGTGGAGTTCTTGATGGAGAAGAGCCATAGGCATAGCGAGCGGGAAGGCGAGTGTTTAAATAGGAGCGGAGGCGAGCGGATGCTGATTCGATTAATGGGCCTCTTCTTGGAGCTTTTACCCGGCCCATTAATATATTTCTCTTTTTTGTCTATTTCTTCTTCCACTTCTTCCCGTTTCGATTTTGTTTGAGGCTGCGCGCGCGCGAGAGGGGAGAGAGGCTGACGAGAGGGAGAGGAGGTGGAGAGCGAGTCGATCTGGGCGGGGGGAAGAGGAATCGCTCGGGGGATGCCTCCGCTGGAGGTGGAATCGCTTCAAGGCCTCGCAGTTTTGTCGTTTGGTTCTGTACTTCTGTTTCCTCCCTGTGTTTGTGGCTCTTTTGCGCGATTGAATGTTTGAATTTTGGTGTGATTGGGATAGTTAATCGAGGAAAAATAGAGATTCGTCTTGTGAATTGTGATGTGCGGAGCCCGCCCACCGGAGGTAGATGGTGATGAACCCCCAATTTCATTTCTATTGTCAGTTTCTTATATGTTTTTGGTTAAGTTTCAGCTATCAGGTGTGGGCTTTTGCTGTCGTGGGTTAATTTTTCTGTTTTGCTCTGAATGGCAGATTCATGTGGGAGCGGTTTCAGCAATTGTCCCCTTTCTGCTTATCCCGATAATATATGCCAGTTTTGATGTAATGAAATGGTAGTCTCCTTGCTTGATTAAGGTGTAAATCCTGCTCATTTCCTCTCCAGAGAGTAGGTTAGGCAAAATTCAGACACTTTTTTATAGGGTCTTTTTTTTTTGAGAACTGGAGTAAGCACAGAATACAGAGCCGTAGTGTAGGGACAAACATCTTTCAGGCTTCAGCCACAGAAACACAGAATAGCAGAACCAAACCACTCGTCTGACCGTTTCGTATAGCTACTTGTTGCATTCTAATCGGGACTGATGATTAACACATGATTATGTTGATGTTGTCTAGATATAGATGTTCTCATTGCGAGCTTTGCTTGGAAAGAAACACACGATTTTTTTCGTAGCGGGGAATCAACAGTCCATCAAACTAATCAATCGAATAACCGTTCAAATGAGTTGTTGGAGCATGGGAGGCAGGAAAGAATATTGTGAGATTATTCTCTTAGTTGTTCAGGATTGTTGACGAACAACAGTGTTGCCAGCACTCTGTACAGTTTTCAGTTATTCCTTTTCTTTCAGCCTTGATCTGCCTGTGTTAAAATCATCTCCTACCAATGTAATGCCAGCCAGCTTGGTTGGCCTTCCGAAAAAGAAGTGTTCAAGTCTTTTGTTAAGGACCCCTCCCCCCCTCTCTCATTTTTGTTATTATTCTATTTTATTGAAATCTTGTGAATTTTGGAATGTTGTGTATTGTTTGCAACTCAGTGCCTTTTTTTTTCCTGAATTCAGTGGCTTTTAATTCAGTGTAGTTTGGTTTTGCGGATGATCATGTTTTACCTCATCTGTTAAGACTTCTGCCAGGTTTTACTTGAGCTTTGTTTCAGGCTCTACCAGTGCTGTTCTATCGGAGATGATGCAAAAGGAATCATTGTCAACTTATACTGGAGCAGCATTGTGTCTTTGTTGATGCTGTGAATGATGCTACTTCTGCGTATCCCAGGCCTTTGTGTTGGATTTTCTGGCAGAGATTGATTGAAGAGAACCATTGGGGATATCTATGAATGAGGAAAGGGCCTCACGGGCTGTAGTTTTCTCTTTTTCTTGTAAAAGTTTTTAACTTCTTATTTCTGTCAATTATGCTATGGTTTGTAATGCAGAGGCATCATGTATGTGTCAGTCAAGTATAGCTAATAGTGTGGATCTCTTGGTGCAATTGTAATCAATGTTTAGTGATGAACTCGTATGGTTTGGTATTAACCTGAGCCCAGTATGATGTTTAGCGTTTTACACAAACAAAGAGATACTCCAAAAGGGAGTATTTGCTTTCACTGAAATGAAATTTTGGCCTTACTAGTTGCATGCACGGCCTATGCGCTTAACTGACAAAAGGGAATAGTACTCCAAATATAACAGTGAAAAGCATCCAACATCTCAACAGCAAAATCTAGGGATCTCTGATGGTTCTTTGCATCTATTTATGCACCACAGAATTCACAGGAGCTTCAGATGAATGACTGCATCTTGTGCAGACAAGAGGCAGCAGGGAAAAAGATCAGACACACTGAGACAGTCAAGTGCACTATCCCACATTTGCTACAGTAACAAAGGGCCAACAGCTAAGCCTGATCTGTAACTGCCAAGCACGGAGAGAACTAAGATCTAAGCTGCCCAATGAACTGCAGCCTTGCAACGCAAACAACAGAACTGTGCTTGCACCAGAATCATCTCATGGCAACCGGGTGCGCCGCAGTTATGCTGCCAAGGGACGTCGCCCACATGCTGAACTGCAGGAGGAGCTTCTAACCTCATGACAGGGTAAACCAGAGCTCCACCACCAGCATGCACGACCTAAGTTCAGAAACCAAGCAGCAACCACTCAAGTTAGGACACATGAGGCAGCTCAATTCTGTAATGGATTAAATCAAGCTCAATTCTGTAGTGTCTCTGAAGAAATGGAGACTGAGATATATATACCTGAACACCATGAAGGACATCCTCGGGGACTAGCACAGACGGCGCAACCGCTGCCCAAGCATCTACGTGAACAACCTCAATGATCTGGTCGCCATGAGCGTTAGCCTTTTCTGGATGGTGTCGCTCAATGTGCTCAGCGCAGCAAGCTGAACAGAAGGACGACATGCATATGGTGCAGAAACGATCAGGGCGATGAATCTGGAAGTAATTTCCTGCTGCAAGTGCCTGAATCATGTCCCTCCCTTTGCCCTGGTGGACATGGTTATGCTGTCCAATGGAAATTTTGGATTACAATTAGTGAGGTCACTTTCATATGAGCAGTTAACAACGAAGCAAAGAGGTTTCCTCTATCTGTCCATCGATCGAAGAAGATATGAAATGAACAGCATTTTCTTGCACAGATAAAATGAACATCATTAATTTTCTTTTTTGAAGGTCAACATGATCTTTTTGAGAGCACATTAGTACCACACTACCACATTGACTAAGCATCTCAAGATATATTTTATTTTCAGTCATCTGAAAACGATAATGGATTCTCTTCTTTTACTAGATGGCTAAACTAGGAACCTATTCCATTGGAGTAACCAAGATTTCTATATTGGTTTTGCACAAGCTTCCGTCCAAGAAGTAGAACTTGCGCACGATCAAGAAAGACAAGAACGCATGATGCGCATCCACAAATCAAGATGGCCAAGACTCTAAACAAGAATTAGTTGTAGCCACGCACGGTCCCAAGCACAAATTTTGAAGTATGAACAAGGACTTACCTTGCACATTAAACAGCAGTACCTCGCCGAAGACTCCCCGATTTTCTGATTGCAGTTAACGCAGGTTCGACCACGCCCTTGTAATGGTGTCATCCTGGGGTTCAACAGGATCCAATCCCGATTCCAGTCTTTCACTCTCTGTATATAGTTCCAATTGTACCCCCAGCGACCCACGGGGTACTTGGCGAACGCCGCGGGGTCTCCACTTCCGAGCAACCCAATCTGCAACAAGAAGAAAAGGAGGCATGGGGGGCAACACGCACGAGAGGCTCAGCTCAGCTCTCAACTCGATCGGAGCGCAAGAAGTCAAGAACAAAGAAGAAGGAAGAAATCTTTCGAACCGACCGTAGCGACTCGGCCGCGACCTCCTGCCGGATGGTGACGATCCCAATGCTCGGGGCAGCAATGGTGGCAGAAGGGGGACCGGCAGTGGAAGCAGAATCTGCCTCGACGGCACATCCTCGTCCAGTTCGCCTGGACCAACCTGTGGAGGTAGAGGGGTTGCTCCATCGTCGGAGCCCCGCAGCTTGCTATCTCCTCTGCTTCTTGGCGTCCGCTACCCCTGTTCTTGCGTTCTTGATTTGCTTGCTGCTCCGATACCGATCGATTCCCCCCCCCCCCTCTCTCTCTCTTCTTCTCCCTGCTCTCTTGGTTGCTGAGGTTTCTTGCGATCGCTTCTCTACACCCGCTGATTGATTCTCTCGGATGTTCTTGATTCCCTCGCGATGTTGCTCTCCTCTCTGATGTCTCTTTCTTTCTTGGGTCTTTGTTGTTCGTGGAGTTCTTGGATGGGGGAGAGCCATCGCGAGCGGGAAGGCGAGGGTTTAAATAGGAGAAGAGGCGAGCGGATGCTGATTCGATTAATGGGCCTTTTCTTGGAGCTTTTACCCGGCCCATTAATATGTTCTTTTTTTTGTTTTGGTCTATTTCTTGATTTCTTCTTCCACTTCTTCCCGTTTCGATTTCCAATCAAAGTTTGAGGCGGCGAGAGAGAGAGAGAGAGAGAGAGAGAGATTGACGAGAGGGAGATGAGGCGGAGAGCGAGTCGATCTGGGCAGGGGGAAGATGAATCGCTCGGGAGATGCCTCCGCTGGAGGCGGAATCGCTTCAAGGTCTCGCAGTTTTGTCGTTTGATTCTGTTTCCCCCTGTGTTTGTGGCTCTTTTGCGCGATTGAATGTTTGATTTTTGGTGTATGATTGGGGATGGTTGGTAGAGGCTATTCGGCGACTCGGCCTGTGATGTGCGGAGGCCGCTGGAGGTGGATGGTGATGAGCACCGATTTCATTTCTAGGGTTTTGGGGGGGCGGATGGGAGGAGCTGGATTTCATTTCTAGGGTTTGGGTCACGGCTTCACATCGTCAGTTTCTTTAATATTTTTTGGTTGGAGTAGCTTTCAGCTATCAACAGTGGGATTTATCTGTTATCACTTCAATTTTGCTCTGGACAGCAGATTCGTGGGGGAAAGCGGTTTCAGCAGCTGGTCCCTTTCTGATGGAACGAAATGCAAGTTTCTCTTCTGATTTGGGTGTAAACAACTCCTCTCCAAGATATCAGAGGAAGCGAAATTCAGACACATTCATCAACACCAAACTGAAACTATGGTCTACCAACTATCTACAAGGTACCAACTTAACTTAGGGCACAGCCTCCCGAAACAAACAACACTGAATTGCTCTTTGTTCAGAACTTTGGTAAGCATAGAATGCAGAGCCGTAGTGGCACTCGCATCTTCCAAGCTTCAGCCTTCGGCCACAGAATAGCAGAATTAAATCGTTCATCTGGCTGTTTCGTGTAGTTACTTGTTGCACTCTGAGTAACTACACTCTGATCTGAGGATTCGATTATTAGCATGATTGTTTGTTGTTGTTATTGTTGTTGTCGTCGTCCAGTTATAGAAGTTCTCATAGTATCATGTATCAATTCCAACTTGGTCAAAAATGAAATTGCTCAAGACTCTTGTTAAGGAGTCCCTCTCATTTTTTTACTAGTCTATTTGTTGAAATCTTCTGAATTTTGGAATGTAGTATCATGTTTGCAGATCAGAGCCTTTTTTTTTCCTTGGTCAGTGGCTTTTAATTCGGTGTAGTTTGCTTTTGCAATTGATCATGTTTGACATCTACCTGGTCCATTACAGATTTTATTTGAGCTTGTTTCTGTCTCTACCAGCACTATTTTATCGGAGGTGATTATTAGCACTATTTGATTTTGGTTTTGCAAAAGGAATCAATTATCAACTTATACTGGAGCAGCATTGTGCCTTTGTTGATGCTGTGATCCTTTGTGTTGGATTTTCTGGCAGAGATTGATTGAAGAGAAGCCAGAGGGGGATAACTATGAACGAGGAAAGGGCCTCATGGTGAGCTTTGCTTGAATCCATCCACCCCTGTTGCGTTGCGTCGCCTAGGAGCCCTTTTTTCTGGTGGGCTGTAGTTTTCTCCTTTTCTTGTAAAAGTTTCTTAACTTCTTATTTCTGTCAATTATGCTAAGATTTGCAATGCAGAGGCATCAAAACTGTATGTGTCTGTCAAATATAACTAACAGTGTCGATCTCTTGGTGCAATTGCAATCAATGTTTTGTGATGAACTCAAAGGGTTCTCAACTTCTCATGGTGTTTTACACAAAGAGATATATATAGTGTTTTACACAACGAGACATTTGCTTTCACTGAAATGAACTTTTGGCCTTACTAGTTGCATACACGGCCTGTGCACTTTAACTGACAGAAGGGAATAGTACTCCAAAATACAACAAAAATATACATATTGTGAACCACGTCTTTGTTTTATTCCTGGATATCAAGAACCCGAAAAAATTGCTTATTGTGACACTTTCTGGCTGAAGAGCTTCTTCCTGATCTGCAGGAGAGAAGAAAATGAAACACTCGTATCAAATCCACTGAATTACCATGCATTGATGGATGAGGTAAGACATATATACCTCAGGAAGCTTTTGCTTGAAAGAGATTTCCACCCTCGCATCCAGCGTGTTGTCGCAGACGATCTTGCCGTCCTGCGATGCAATCACCACACCTCCAGAGCTGCAAAATTAGGGACACAAATCAGCTTCCGATGAAGTAAGCGTTAGCACGAGCATATTACTGGTGTATCAGGTACTAGGAAGCAACAAGATTGTGTGTACCAGAAGGGGCCATGGGCGTCACGGGCGGTCTTGGGCGGCGGGAGGTAGACCTTGCCGTCGATGAGGATCTTGGGGAGGTTCACCTTAGCCTTCTCGGCGTACTCCTTCTTCGCCGCCTCCAGCACCGACTCGACGTGCCCGCGATCCGCCTCCCGGCACCGCAGCACCACCGACGGCTCCCTCAGCCGGAGCAGGCTCTGAATTTGATCAATGATCTCTGAATCTTTTCTCTGAACCAAAATGTGCATGGATAGCTAGATACTCCCTCCGTTTCACAATGTAGGACTTTCTAGCATTGTCCACATTCATATATATGCTAATAAATCTAGACATTATTATATATATAGATTCATTAGCATCTATATAAATGTGGATAATGCTAGAAAGTCCTATGTAGAGGGTGTGAGGGGATTTGGTGGTGATCACCTGCACGATGAGGCCCTTGAGGACCTTCCTGTAGGCGGTGGCGTCCTTGGTGACGCGGAGGAGGCTCTTGCCGGCATCCTCCTTCATCTCGCCCACCACGCCGTCCTGCGCCCGCAGCACCTTGATCCGCGCCGCGTTCAGCTGCGTCGAGTACTCGCTGCAACCATGCGAAAGATCAAATCCAAACACAGAGTTAATAATCAGGAACGACACTGATTCGATCACCACAGTTGAACATTTTTTCGCAAATATGCAGTTGCTATCGATCGAGATCTTTTCTGTGTGATGCTCACATCTTCCTTCCAACGTCCACCTGCTTCGCCTTGCGCTCGTAGTCCTGCCTGATCCTCCGCTTCTCCGACTCCACCAGCTGCAGCTTCTCTATGTTGAACTCCTGCATCACCCCCATCAAGATCGTTTTTCAGTTGACACCATTTCTGAAGAACAGAAGACGAAGGAGATCAAATTATTTATTTTACCTCCTCCGCGGCCACCGAGATCTCGCTGGCTTTCTCCTCGGCCTCCTGCAGGATGAACCTGACCATCTGCTGGATCTGCTTCCCGACGTCGGCATCGTTCATCTTCGACACACCGATCCCGATCCCGATCCGATCCAAACTACTCTCCGCGAAGTGTGTGTTCTTGGTTTCTGAAAATATGTGCCTCTGCTAGCTTCGGGAGACGATGAAACTGTTCTTCCCCCTCTTGGATGGACGAGAGGCAGAGGAGGAAAGGCCTACGTAGAGTTCGGAAAGGATCAAAGGAGAGGTGAGGAGGAGAGGAGCGCGGGAACCGGTCGTTGCCCTTCCCGCCAAATCTGGACTTCGATTTGGGCTCTCGATCGACTCTGGATTTTCGGTTTTTGGGGTTTCTGTGGGCTGTTCGTTCGGTGATGGACGGCCCAGTTTCATCAAGCCGGCCGGCCCACTATTTGTATCAAGAGATGGGCCCAACCCAAATAGCCCATTACGCGCGCAACGACGGCCACGACGACGGTTGCCGGCGCGCGCCGCGGGGTTGCGTCGTCGTCGTCGTCGTCGTCGTCGGCGGCGGCGGCGGATCCTTTTTTATATTTTCCGGCGTGAAGGCAGAGCTCGGGCAAGCACGAGGGGTCCCCGGAGGCGCTGGTACGTACGCGCTTTCCTCCCCTGCGCCATCGTCTTAATTTGTCCTCTCTGAGCTCACCGAACGCATCGTCCGCTTGATCTTCCCATATCCCGTGGTGGGTGATGCCGGTCGTCGGCTCGTCGCGATAGGGAGTTTGCTGTGGTAGGGGATTCTTCTAGGGTTTTTGTAGTCTGGAACTCGGTGTAGGATTTGCGCTATCTGAGCATTGGTGCCGGCAACCCCACGCGTGCATGCTAGGTGTTCGGGGAAATTCCGATCAGGCCTACGTTTTACAATGCATCTCTGCGGCGGTGATTACTCAGTGGTAAGCTGATTTCTCAGTGATTGCACGGTGATCTTCTGGCCTCACAGTGCAGTGCAGTCTTCATGGATGCCGACTGACCTGGCATGACATTGAAACTGATCTGGTGGTCATCTCGGACTGGGAGACAGGGAGATCACTCGACCGCTCTTTTTTGTGGGCTTTTGCTCAGTGCTCACTCATGCAGTCACACGGCACTGTGGAAACCCATGATAATGCAGCAAGTAATGGTTCAGTGTCCCTCCAAGGAAAGTTGCATCATTGTTTGGTCCTGCGGTTTAGAAAAGGAAGAGAAAATCCTTGATATGCTGTGTTTGGTCAAGTTTATTGTTGCTACTTGCTGCCTTTGTTGTAAAGTTTGCAATATTTCTTTTAGACTGGTAAAGTTTGCAATATTCTCGATGCTTTTGCCAATTGAAACTTATTTATATTCTCAAAGTCAGTATGGTGTGCTTCTCGGTCCATCTGCAGACTGCAGGGCTGTGTTTGGTGGTGTTGTGTAGACTGTAGTGGATGTCTCGGGTATTTTTGCTTACAACCAGTCCCCATTGACGTTGAGACTCTGCTTCTATGGTTTGTCATTGAAGTCTTTTTTTTCCTAGTGGCTGTCAACATGTACTTCAGCATTGTTGATCTTCTGAGTTTGCATTTGAATGTAAGGTAAAAATTGATTAAGTTGGTCCTGTTTACTTTTTTGGACTGGAACTGGATTGGGTAACTTTTTTTCTTGAATCCCTCATAGTCAATAAAAACTCCACAGTCCACAGGGTTGGCGAACTGCCAGTAGTGAGCTGGTTGTGTGGTTTATTGCAGCTTGAGAGGCAAGAGCAACGTAGATATAGTGGTTGATGGTTGGAAAACTGTCACAATTACATGGCTTTGGACAACATTGCCATGCATGACCATCTGAAACTCTGGATTTCTCATGCCTCACATAAGCTTCTTCTTGAACCAGTGTTACGTTGGTGTAACATATCCCCTTTCCTTCTTTTCATTCTGTTATTGAATGCCAACCTTTTGGATCGCTGAGTGAAATATATAATTTAGGTGGGTTGGTGCCTTGCTAAAAATTCTAAAGTTGGGAAAGTGAAATGGCACACAAGCACAAATGATTAATGTCTCATTTCAAGGAAACTGGTACTTGAAGGTGCCATCATTTTTCAGCTAGATCATCCATCAAACAACAGCTAAGATGTCGCTTTTGCTTTTTCCTTTCCGGTGAAAAAATATGGTCTAAGTCTTCCTGCCTTTGACATATTTAAGTTTGGTGAAGTACTTCCTTTGTTCTCAATGATTGAGGCTGTAGTTTTGCAGTACTGCAAATTTCTAAGGCTTCCCAAGTACAATCCAGGATCCATCATTTGTTAATCAATTTAACATCTGGAAACAGATAGAAGCAAGCACTACAGGAATGCTGTTATAATAAGACACGTTTACAAGTACAGCACTAACCATATGATGTCATTATTTTAGGGTTTTATGATAGTTTTCACCATGTTATGTGTTAGAAGAATACATAAGTTCACTGTCTTTTGGTTGGCTATTGAGCACAAAATATGAAGGCCCCCTGACAAATTAGGACCTTATCCTCTCCTCCTGTAGCTGACAGTTTTTCGGTTCCAGTAATCAGATGGAAACAATGCAGGTCCATGACATCCACAGCGCTAGCACTGCTGCCTGCACTTGTATTATTTTCTACCCCTGTAGTTGAGAGGACAAAAATGATACGGCTGATTGCATTGTCGTCCAATACAGACAGTTTTGCAAGTGCAGGACCATGCATTATCGATGGGAGGACGGTGATCAGGGAACGCATGGCATGTGCAGACGGGCTTGACTGCATGTTACATGTATCCTCCCCAGAAGTTTGACATGAGGAGCCAGCAGTTCTTCCACTGATAACTGATGAACGAAGATTCCCAGTCATCTGCATCAGCAGGTATTTGTTTTGTTTAATACGTAGATTACTGCATAATTAGTTGTGAAACTGGATAGATTAGATGCGCTATACAATTGACTGACTATAACATCCTCTCCATTTTATAATACCCGGTTCGAAACTTTGACAGCTAATGCATCATTCACAAAAAAAGAAAAAGAAGAACAGACTCATGTGATACAAATCTGCTCCAGTTATTTCCTCTGTTCCTATTACTGTTCCAAAATTACTGCTTAATGCGTTAGAAAATCGCGATAAATTAATCAAGATCCTTTTCAATGTTGCAGCAGATGAACCGAACTGTGAGCTGCACAGATGGAGCCATGGAGAGCACTGCATCTGGGTCAATCAACAATTATGAACGTTTCTCCCTTCCATTCGCTCTGCCCTCATCTGAAGAGGACCACAGCACCTAACGACCGAGATGATGAACTGTGGACTGGAGAGCACCACACACCCCTCCCGGATTTCCTGGCGAGGTGATGAGCAGATGAAGCTTGGCGATGCAGCGGCGGCAGGCACTGCTCTGCGCGTGAACTGCAGCCGTGCAGGAGGAGCCAGATCCCGGCACAGTGCTGGGCAGGCAGTGCCCCCCCCACACCATATGCCCGGCTCCTGGGCGATGATGCAGCAACTACCGGGGTCGCCATCGCCCAACCGAACGTCTCGCCGGTGCCCTCCCGCCCCCGGCCGAGATATGCAGCCACCAACCTACGGTGTGCGCCCGAAAGTGACCACATCTTGCCATGATGGGTCTGGATGGCCCTCCCCTTCCATAATTTTCACATTTGCACACCCAGAAATGAGTGGTAGTTCGTTTTCGTTTGACATGTTAAGAAGATGCTTAGCTTAAGCTTTTTGGGTGAACCGGTCGATGATATAGATTAACGTCGAAATGGAACATCAATAAAATATGGATGTAAATTGAGTCATGGTTTTATAAATGAGTGATAGTTCGTTTTCATTTGACATGTTAAGAATATGCGAGCTTAAACTTTTGGGTGAACTGGTCGATAAAATATATTAACGTCAAAATGGAACATCAATAAAATATGGGTGTAAATTGAGTCATGGTTTTGTAATGGAGGAACATCTATGGGACTCCTCCATTTGTAATTTTTTGGCATTGTAATTTTGTCAGAGCATGAGCTTGGGAAGGAAATTCCTTTTGTCAGTGTAATCCAGTGCATAATACACCAGCACTGTCCACCATATGCAGATGGTTTCAACTCGGGTTGGGGCCACATGTACATTATTGTTGGTAGTGCTGTACTGTTCAGTGTACATGACCATCCTCGCAAGTACTCTGCAATTTGCCAAGATCTGAAGATCTGGAGTTCTGGACCTCATGTTCGGTACACTGTTCGTGTTTTTGTACACTGTGCCTCCTTAATTTCCCTGATTACTCCCTAACACAAAGCTGCTTTACCACTTTTGCACGGGTTCTTAAACTTTAAAACCGTCCAATCGTACGGCAAAAAAAGATGTATCAGGTGGGGTGGAACACTACGAATACAATTAGTGAAGTACAATTGACAACCTAGAAAAAATGTGGCAGAAATTAGCCCACGGCTCGGATCGGATCAGATGAGATGAGATCTCCTTGTTCTTTGATCCAGGCTAGATCCAACCCCAACATGAAAGAGAGTAAGTGCTAGCGATGTACTCCGTAATGATGTGAAGTGGAAGCATCATCTGAGACGCTCGTTTCCGATCGGACGGCGTGGGGAGGAGATCCGAGTGCACGTGCACCTTCTAGGATCTAGCTCCGGGGTTAAGCTGCTGCACGTTGGCCTCATTTGACCACCATTAGCCATTGCCCAGTGTGCCAACCTTGCGAATACAATATTAGAACTTAGAAGTTTATATTACATCACGTTACATCTAGTAGTACTATCTCCGTTCCAAAACGGAGGTAGTATAAAGAGTTTTAGGCTTAAATACGGGTGTGAAGAAAATAGGTAGAATTAAATGGAAGAAAATTATGATTGATTGAGAAAAAAAAGTTAGTGGAGAATTTGAATGGTGAAAGATTGTGATTGGTTGAAAAGAGAAGATATGTGAAGAAGTTGTAATATTCTGAGATAAATTTTAAATGTTAAAAGTTACTATATTTTGATACGGAAGGTGTAATAATCATCATCGCAGCAAAATCATCCACTGAGCAGTGACCACCCACCTGATTACTCTAACCCAACCAAACATCTCTGTACCTTCTTTTCCAGAGATAAAAGAAAACATTTGTTCTTTTCTTTTCAGTTTTCACTGCACAAGACCATAAACCGACTGACACGTGGGCCCCACCACACCCTGGTCCCACTACTCCCACACCTCGCCCGCGCCGACTTCTCGCCTCTCTGACTTACCGCATACTTTACTCCACCACCACCACCCCTCCCCCTTTGCCACCGCGCCCACCCTTCAAAGCCACCCCCAACCCTCACCGACAGGTGGGGCCCAACTCCTCGTGGGTCCCGCCCGCCATTGTCACCGTAGCGGGTCCCACGCGCGGGGGGCGATCACGATTCGCGAAAGCCTTTACGGCGAGAAACAAAAACAAAAGCTTTCACAAGGCAGCGTGAGGAGGAGGAGGAGGGGAGCTCAGCTCACGCAGAGGCGACGACGACGCGCACGCGCACCGCCCTCCTCCCTCCCCGCGATCTCGCCGTAGGGGATCTCGTCGGCGGCGAGGAAGCAAAGGCCGAGGGGGCAGCGGCTGGGGAGGGGAGGGGAGGGGAGAGCGGCATTGGTTGGAGCTTGGAGGAAGTTGGGTGTGTGTGTCTGGGGGTGAGGGTGAGGGATCGGATCGAAGCTTCTGGAAGGTTCCGGGCGCGGATCCGGCTCGGTGGGTTGCTCGCTCGTGGCTGGAGGTAGCGGCGCGCTGGTGGTATCGGCTTTTGGTCTAATGCTTTGCTTCGGTTTGGAGTTTGGAGGTGGGGGTTTTATTGATGCTTTTGGTTGGGTGGATTTGTTGCTGCAGTTTGAGCGGGGGGAGCAACTCTGAGGTTTGGTTTTCCTGAGATGGAGGACCTGCTGGGCGCGGAGGTCGGCAAGAACGACTATGACTGGTGATCATCGATTTCGTTTTCTTCAGTTTCTTTCTTTTTTTTTTGTTTGTTTCACCTTCGCTGATTTTGATTAATCTCCTTTTGTTGTCGGTGTGGTGATCTTCGTAGTGTATTTGGTACAGCACAAGTTTATGTGAAGTTGTAGCTGTATTTTTTTTTAAATCTGCTGGGTTGACTTGAATTGACGTGTTTTGGGCTGGATTTGTACTGAACGCTTGTTTTGGGTGGTTTGAGTAGGCTTGATCTTGGAGTGACATGTTTTTGTTTGTTTCGTAAAAGAGGATATGCTGCATTGCCCCCAGAAACGTCACTCTTCCGGTTGTAGTTGTGATGGTTGTGATCGTTTCTCGTTAAGGATGGCCTTGGTGATTGCAGTTGGTTGGAATTGAATCGCTGTGCTGAGCAAACGTGAAATATATGAAATATGCAATTGGATGGATAGGCAGTTAGGCAACCTGTGGGGACGGGCTCCTCTTCCCTTGGAAGGCCAATTTGATGTTAAACTAGGGGAGATATGCTGATACTAATTTGGGGATATTAGCAGGAGCATGCCACGAAAAGAAAGATTTATTTTTGGGCCAAATGTGCCATTAATATGTTGTTCCCACAATATATAATTGTAATCGCTTATGACTTTTTGCTGTGAAAACATAATCAATCTGTTTTGGTTGTTTTCTATAGTATTTTAAAAGCTTGTAGTAACTATATGGTTTCTTGCTTGATTGGTTGTCTGTTCCTCTAGTCCATACATGTTTAGCATTTGTTTCTACTATAATGAAACATAAATTGTGATGCTCTTCTCAGGCTTCTTACTCCCCCTGGGACACCCCGTTGTCCTGTACTGGAGGTTGCTGAGAAAACACCATCCCCAAATATATTACCTAAGCGCACTGCCACTAGATCATCGTCAACCACCAGAGCGTCGAGGGTATGTACTATGTATTATTTGTATTAGAATGGACGTGCTAAATTTTGGAGATTTGCTTTTGCAATCTAGTTTAAGGCTCTTTTTCTGCAGATATACTTCTAATTTCGTAGTTTCAGTGACAACCTGTACCCAATTTTCTAAAGAAATAAGGAACAATTTTATCCATGTTGCATTGTAACAACACTCAGTTTAGGGATCAATACCTCCAGATATATATCTCTGATGAATAGTTGCTGTCTGGGCTATGCATCCTTTTTCTTTGGCTGCATGATCTTTGGTAGTATGAAACATTTTGAGCTCCTACAACCTGTTTTCCTGTTAAGTTTTCATTAATGACACATAGTCTTAAGTCTTAACCAGTGTAGAAAAATGGGATGCAGCTGATATTCAAATAAGTGTTTTGATCTGAAAAGCTTTCAATGTTATTGTCATTTTATTTCTTCGAGGGAAAAATTTACTCATTGTTAGCAATTGAAGGTTTCACATTAGATTTCAATAATGAACAATGCATTGAAGTATTTCCCAATATATGCCACAACTAGATACAAAAACAACTTTATTTAATGAATTGCATATTGGAATTGAAGACCACCCAAACCAGGGAGTCTGGTGATAACACGTTTCTTGCTTCTCTACCTACTCGAACTACCTAGGCAGTAGTTGCATAATTACTCTCGGGGCTTTTTTTTCTCCTCCTTGATTAATCTTGGTTATAATTAGCATTTTTATGTCAAACTACGTTGTTTTGCAGCTTTCAGTATCTCAAACAGAGAATGGTCATTCTACAGCTCCCACTAGACCAGCTAGAAGTAACTCTGTCACTCGCCCTTCTATTCAGTCCACTCTCATGTCTAGCTCCAACAGGACAGCAGTTCTCAATACAAGCATTTCCTCCGTCAGCTCAAGACCTACAACCCCAAGTAGGCGAAGCAGCACTGTTGTTGCACCAAAGCAATCAATTGCAGCTTCACGCCCTGTTCCAGCAAGGTCCTCCACTCCTGTTAAAACTCGTCCATCTACACCAACCAAAACTCGCCCATCTACTCCTGTGAGAACTCGTCAAACAGCCAATTCTACAAGCGACTCAGCTGCTGCCAGGACCACATCCGCTCAAAATTCAAGGCCATCAACGCCAACCTCTAGATCACGTGCTATGCCCAATTCATCTTCTGGTGCAATTCCTGCAATGAGCCGCCCAGGTGCATCTACAATTTCTGCAACAAGTCGCTCAAATGCATCTACAATATCTGCAACAAGCCGTCCTGGCTCATCCTCAAGTAATGTACCTGGGATAAGCCGTGCCACCTCATTGTCTTCAAGTACAGTTCCTTCAATGAGCCGCTCCAGCTCACGTTCATCCACACCTACACGCCAGCCTGCAATGCGCTCATCGGCCCCTGCTGTTGGTCGCTCGCCTTCTGTTGGGCGGAGTTCTAGCATCAGTAGCTTGACATCATCTATCAATCGACCTGCAGCAAATGGTGGCCGGAACTCAGCACCTTCATCGGCTCCGTCATCTCGTCCAAGTTCCCCTGGTCCACGACCTCGAGCTCCAGTTCGTCCACTTGATATCCCTGATTTTCCAAATGAAACACCACCAAATCTTAGGACAAAACTGCCTGAACGGCCACTATCTGCTGGTAGATCACGGCCAGGCATGGCTTTAGGAGTAAGATCAACCTCAAATACTGAACCATCAGCTGCCTCAGCTCCTGTAAAGAAGGTGTCTGTGCCTGCTATGAGTCGAAGTAAATTTTCTGATGCACCATCCAGGACACCTACTCTCACAAATGGACGCCAAAACAGACAGAGTGAGAGGTCTACTGTGGATAGTCAACCTAGTAAAGTCTCCAGGCCTGCCACAGGGACAGATAATGGATTTGGGATGACGATGTCAAAGAAGTCACTTGACATGGCAATCAGGCACATGGTACGTTTCTTCCTGTGTTTCCATCAGATTAGTAAAACCCTGCTTTGAACCAGTTAGGATTCTGTTTGCATTTAGCCAGAATTTGTCATGTACATTTGATTCGACATTGCATGAACCATGACTGTGTTGCAGTGCCTTTTCTTGCCATACGCAAATCACAAGTTCAAAGAAGCTAACATTACTCCTTGAACTTGTGACAGGACATTCGGCAGAACTTGGGTGGAATCCGTGGCGCATCCCTCTTCCCGCATAGCATCCGCTCAACCGCCGGCAAGGGCAGGCCAGCTCGAATGTCAGATCCTGGGCACACCATCTCAAACGGAGACCACCGGCACTACGCCGACAATGGCAGCACCAACGGGCACTTCTCCGGGGACTCCAATGGGGCTCTCTCGCGCAACGGTGGCAGCTCGACCGACTCACCCGACCGGGGAAGCATCGGAGGCAAGGAGACGCTGAGCGAGCTGGACATGTACGGCAGCTCGCGCTACGAGGCGATGCTGCTGAGGGAGGACGTGAGGAACACGAGCTGGCTGCACGGCTTCGACGACAGCAAGCCCGACCAGAGCCCACTGTTCGACCACCGGTTCGAGCCGCTCCCAGAGCCCTTCAGCCCGCTATGACGAATGCACGGTTGCCGCTGCCTGTAAATCTGCTGTTCCATGGTCTGCTTTGCAAGATGTGTATGCCATTCCATATGTTTTCTGTTTGGTTCTGTTTCAGGTTCTACACGCTCTTCCCTTGGGTACAATACTCTGCTGGTAATATTTTACTTTACCGATATAAGACGGAGAGATTGTGGGGTGTGGCTCATTTAATTTATCCCTGGAGTAGGGATTGGTTTCCACGTACTGTTGTACTGAGAATCCACAAGAGTATAGGAATTGATAAAAACAGTAAAGATTTGTAAGTTATTGTAATGCCATTGGTTTCTCATGGATGTTATATCTTGTCAAACCAACCAGGGTTGCCAAATGCGATGGAGACCCTGTCTAGGGAAGCCTTTAGCAACTACGGTTTCAGGCTCCCAAAATAGTCTGTAGTAATATAATTTGTGGTCCGGTTTATTGGTCTTATATACTCTTATCCACTCGGTAGGCCAGCTATGTTTTAAAAAAAGTCAATTTAATTTGTTAAAATTTATCTGAATTTCATCGTTTGTCGTTGTCGTCAGTGAACGAGCGGTCATCGTGTATTAAGCAGTATCCGGTGACCAGTCACATTTTGGAACCCTGTGTCAAGCTCGCAGCTGCTTCCATCACCCATGCTAGTGACCCGTGTGATAAAACACGAGACGGTGCGTCGTGCTGGGACGGGACAGCATGAGAAGTTGAGAACGCATTGAAGTCGAGGCTGGCCCGGCCATCTCCCCGGCCCCGGCCCGTGCACGGCACGGCACGCGTCGCGCTCAGCGTAGGTGGGAACTGAAGAGCCCACCGGCGAGAGGCCGCGTCTTGGGCTATCTTCCCTTCCCATGCCGATCCACGGCTTTTTTTTTTCTTTTTGGAACGGCCGATTGTTGCCGGCGTTTTATATATAATAAGGTGTCTTATTTTAAGGAGAAAATAAGACCAAACTTTACGGTGCACAGTTAATTAAAGAAAACTGGGTAAAAACCACAACTACAATAAACACTCCAAGAAACCTAAACTACCACGGCGACAAAACATTAGCCAAGCACAACACTCAACAACGCTGCTCAACACAAGAACGGTAAAGCCAAGCAGCAAGCAAGAAGGAAACAGAACTCCCCACCCTAGTAAGGCACGACGTGTTATTGTCATCACATCATTATCCATGTGATCGGGCGACTCCGACTTCGCCAAGAAACACCAGGTCAGGGCACCGACCCAACCCGACCCAAGCCAAAGCACAACTCAAAAGAGCTCATGTCATTGTTGTCACACGTTACGCCCCGCTGATGCCGCAACTCTGACTTCATGACCACCAGTCAATTGTGCACACCCAGGACAGACTGACAAGCCTTGCAAACCCAAAAACTCGCTACCCTACACTGAAACAAAAAGCAATTCACGCGGTCCAACTTAAGTCATCGTTGTCGAGCTTGCAATCCTGCAGCAGCTCCGACTTCCCAAAGGACAACAGCCAAACCGCAACTGAAACCAAGCATAGCTTCGAGTTGTCGTTGCCAAGCTCATCAAACGTCTCGACGCTGCAGCTCCGACTTCCCAAAAACCATTCTTAGGTATCAATGCAAGGTAAAGCTAAGGACTACCAAGGATTTACTCGACGATGCCTTCAAGAAGGACACGACGCCAAACTCAACTGCCATCGCCGACTCAAGAATGAACTAGGTTTACACCCGGATAATCGAAACACGATAGGATGGGGAGATACCCAAGACACCTCCAAGGAGGGAACGACACCGTAGGCGTCATCGTCCGGGCTTTCGCCTTGGTCACCACCAAGCTATCAGTGCTAGAGCAGTCCCAGCGTCGACAATTACATGCACGTCTGCTGGTGTGGAAGCAATCGTCCTAGCCCATTGCCGCACGCCGAGGTGGCCTACTTTCCAGCACCACAGCCGCCAAGTCCCTCCACGAAAAAGGAGTTGCCATCAACAACCGAGCCAGCGAGCGCCTGGATACCTCTCGCCGACCAACCGGGCGGAAGACCTGTGGCAGAGGCCCACATGTACCCGTTGCCAACGCCGCCTGTAGGCTGGCAAAGAGCTTCGCTGTTAGGGACTGACGCAAAGGCTGCTTGCCACCGGGAGGAGCCCCATCGTCGCCGCCGGAAGGGGCCCCGTAGCCTCCACTATCCGCAACTCTGGAAGTTGCTCACCTCCGCCTCACGGGCCGGGGAGGAGTTCTCATGCCGCCACCGCCGTCTGCTGGCTGGGGAAGGCCCCAGTCGCCGTGCGGCACTTCTGCCCGACCACCAAGCTGGCACCGACACCACCACTGCCGCACCCAGCCGCCGTCCCGCCGGTTAGGCTAATCTCATCCACGGTTGAACCATCAACGGCTGAAACTGCTGCTGCCTTCTCCTTGGGCTCTCTTTTCTTCATTGGCTGACCGGGGCAGATTTAACGTATAATCAATGGGGGCCTTGGACCGTAGTCAAAAATTACACTCATTAGATATGTCCCTAATTGTATGACCTATGGGCCCCCACTCTAATTGGGAAGAAGAACCCCACTCCTTTTTTCTGCTCCTTCCATCACGCAAATGCGTGCATGTTTAGGCTTCGAATGTCCGTTCCCCTTCTCTCAATCCCCCAACTGGCAAATCCATAAACTAGGGATTAGGAAATGGGAAGAGACAAGCGAGCCCATCATCATCTCGCCCCATCTATTTTGCTTCCGTAGACCGCACTTCACCTTCGCCGCTTCCTTGATCACTCACCGTCGACGTTGTTCTGCACGGCGCACTCCATCCATGAAGAAGTTGTGGCACGTTGGGCCTGCTGATCTCTGTATCACTCGGTGCGTACTGATATCTCCCTCTCATGCAGTCAATAATTGATGAGGATGACTCTCTAGGGCAGTAGGTTTCCCTTCAATGCTCTATCTAATCATCCTTGTCATGATCTGATAAGGGAGTTAATGGACAATTTTTATAATGTAATATCTCAAAGTTTTTATAAGTTTGTATGAGGTGAGCTCCACTTAGCTTTCTAACTTGTTATATGAGTTATGTATGCCCGTGAGTTTCACTTAGCTTTCTACTTAACTTGTAATATGAGTTATGTATGTCCCCAGTCAATTTTTTTAATGCGTCCGCCCCTGGGCTGACGCATTAACATACACGTCTTGGACTCCTGGTTAGGCTAATCTCATCAATAGTTTCATTGGAGTTTTATTCTTAATAAATGAGATATCACATAAATAATTTGATGACATGGAGAAATAATTATGAAGAGAGAGGGAAAGAGTTTCATCTGAGTGTATCATGTTTCAAAGACTATGAAACTGGTTGAAACTAGCATTGGAGGCTAGAGTGTTTCATCTCATCCAAATGTAATCACATATTCACATGTATCACTATTAAATGCTATGACAAACCCGTGAAACCGCAAAATGAAACTGTACATTGGAGATCTTATTTCATTTGTATAGACCTTTTTAGATGACATGGCACTCTTGGTAACGGTGAGTTGAAACTCTCCACTGGAAATGACCTTAGAGAAGCTTCAGATAATGTGGGAATCTAGAAAAAAAAAGGGTTTGTTCTTTAAATTCTACAACTATATGTTTTCCAAAAAGTAAATTTCACAAAACTACAGGTTCTTCAATCAAACTATTGTATAACTACATATTTAAGGTGTTGTATCACAAAATAGATTTAACGTGAAATTTATTATAAACTACAAATTCAAGATAGAGTGCCAAAGAAATAAAGATTAAGTAGTAAATTTATCATAAAACTATGGATTTAGTACCTGTTTAATCATAAAACTACAATGTTTATAGCTCTAACATAATGATAGTGCTAAGGGATCTAAACTTAGAATATGTAGTTTTGTGGTAACTTCAATATTAAATCTGTAGTTTTGTGATAGTTGACCTTAAATATGTAGTTTTATGATAAATTTAGTGCTAAATCTACTGTTTTGCGATACATCACCTTAGACTCGTGTTTTGTGATAGGTTGATCAAAATATATGTAGTTTTATGAAATTTAATCTTGTCATGATTTGAGATCCCCTTTGAAACAAAAGAAAAATATATGAATTATAAAGGACTTATATATATCCTATGAGAAATTGGATTGTTTTTTTACCAATTCCTTTAAAATTCCTATGAAATAAGCCATTCTCTAAAGCAATTTTAAAGGAAAATAAGCATGAGTTCTCACTCCATATTTTCCCATGTCTTAAATTCATGTGTCCGAATCAAACCACGGTTCTAAAACTTTCATGTGTTTCGAAATTCCACAGGACTTCAATGAGCATGACATTTTTTTCATGTGTCGCAATCTTGCGTTTTAAAGGAGTACAAAATAAAACTCTAAATTATTTGAAAAGCTTAAGATTAAAAGAAGCTGCTAGCTTCCTAATTAGGGGTGAAGACAAACCTTCCCATGCAATGCTAGGTCGCTAGCCTTGTTTTCTTCCTTGTCCTCTTGCTGCATGTTGACACCCAAGGTATTTATGAACCAAGAGCAACTGATCACCAACCAGACGTCTTGGCCACGAACCACAAAGGCCCCTTATGGTTTATCACGGTTCTACCAACACATTTTCCATGAGTGAGCTACTACATATGAACGGTTCTAAATTAAGCTACAACAACTTAACAACATAATACTAAGGGACAATTGCTCATTTGACCCTATTTTCAGGTCTAACTACCAATTTGACTAAACTTTTCTAAGTTTATTTGACCATGTTTTTTCAATTTGAAGTTGCCGTCTGACCCTACTTTCACTACACTGTGAGTATTTCACTTAGAAAAAATAGAAAACAAGAATTTACAATCCTAAATGACGAAAATGCCCCTTAATACGTCAATCTATCCTCTATCACTCATTCCTATCCTCTCTCTCTCTATCATCTATCATTCTTATCCTCTATCAGCGGCGGCTCGGCGGCAGCTGTAGCGGCAGAGGGGCGGCTCGGCGGCGCGACGCGGAGGGCCGCCGCTGGCGGCGAATGAGGAGGAGCGGCGCTCGGCGACGAGGAAGGCCGCCGCTGGCGGCGGATGCGGAGGAGAGGCGGCGACTCGGCGACGAGGAGGGCCGGCGGTAGCTGCGGCTGCGGAGGAGCGGCGGCTTGGCGGCGCGACGCGGAGGGTCGCCGCTGGCGGTGGATGCGGAGGAGCGGCGGTGGAGGGGCAGCTGCTCGACGACGAGGAGGGCTGCCGCTGGCGACGACGGGCGGCGTTGGCTCGGTGACGAGGAGGACCACCGGTGGCGGCTTGGCGGTAGCTGCGGAGGGGCGACGTTCGCTCGTCGACGAGGACGACGGCCGGCGGTGGCGGT